ACGAGAAATAAAAATAAACTGGCTATTCTTGATAGTCGCGTTCACAAGTAGTTAATAAAATAGTAGTGAATAAAATAGATATTGATATCTTTAATACCAAAATTGTCACAGCGAGAAAATTACTCAGCGACTTCTTTTTTATTTCTTAGGAAAGTCTTTTTTATTTCTTAGGATAGTCTTTTTATTAAGTTATATTGTAAAATTCTATTTCTGTTGATTTTTTTTTATTAGAGTGCTTACTTATTTAAGTTACTTTATTTCTACAAGTGTAAACTTATTTAGCTTACTTCGTTGTTTAATTTAGAAATATAAATGTATATACTTCTAGTTTACCATTAATAAATAAAATAAATAAAATAAAATAAAAACTTATGTAGAAAGGTATGGGACTGTCGAAATTACAATTTAGAGTGTGAAAAACAATATAAGAACGTCCAATTTAATAAAATAATTGTAACCGTTGTTTTTATAAATCTTTTCAGCTTCTAGGTATGTGTTGAGAGCCGGCGGTGTTCGACAGAGGACCGCAAAGATCTCCGGCTTTGCCTCATTGGCCGCTAGAGCTCCTGGCCAACTACCTCCTCATGTACCTATGTCTCCACAGGTACAATAATTATTCAGTTTCTTGCATATACTTACTCCATATTGTCTTGGTAATATTTTTTGACAAAATTATACAATAGATTCAGTTTTGAACATTATTATAACAGCAAATTTGTCAGGCATTGTTAAAATTTAGGTGAGTCTAAACGAAATTATGCATACTTATCAACTTAAAAAAACACGTGTTGTATCATTACGGGTCAACGACTTCGTAATACAATACGTGATCGATAAGAACATTTATATATTCGACCTCATACCTACTACTTAGGTAATCGTTTGATAAAGTCTAGATGGTGTGTTCTGACTCTAGCATTTTTACTAAACTGTTTTGTTTAGTTTCACGCTTGTAGTCTGAACTTGCGACTGATTCGTCACCCACTTCTTATTACTATGTTGAGCTCCAATTTCACAGTTTGAACAACTAATAAGTGTATGTAATTTTATTTAAGTATCCATGAATATAACAAAAAAAAAAAATATTCTATAATAATTTGTATTTCTTAATTAAACATCTTAAAATAAATTTACTACACCTAATTACTGGCAGAAGTTGAGACTCTAATTTAGTAATATCACTCAAATCTTTATTTTTTTTATTTAATTTATTTCATTATAATAACAAAAACGAAACAGAATAATAAGTAATCCATTTTATGAGATCATCGGCTATTTGCAGGCAGCCTTCATTATTATAATACCTTTGGTAGGTTCGATTCCAACACGCTCGCCAGCTGCTGGCGGCGGGCCGGTTCCGAGAGGCCGCGCCCCATCTCGCCCGTGTGGGTGCCGCTGTCGAACCATTCTCGCGGTCCGCTCGCTCCTTACTCGCACAGGTAAGTCCCTCCCTAGACCTTACAAATGTAAGGGCGACTAAAAACAATTCCACTTCTTGTATAGTACTCGTAATTGTTAAAATCAAACTGCGTTTGTTGTCTCATTGCAAGTGGAGCACAGTACACTTCTAATAGGTATAAAGGCGCTATTCCACCGACTAGGCGACGCATCCTGAGATGAGGCGAGACGAAGATTAAAAGTTGTACGGCAAAATTTCGATTCGTTTCTAGTGCATTTACTGTGGAAATGGTCTGGATGATGTTGATGTGCCACACGAGATTTGAAATAATTGCTCCTGTAAATCCGCACAAGCTCGCGATTGTCATTAATATGAATTGCGATTGTAAAAAAAGTGTATGTAATTATTTCTTCTTACAGTATCTTCATATAATTCTTCTTCCATTATGATTTTTAATAATAATAATAAAAAATTTTACGGATTATGTTACTATACGTTACAGCCGCGTACTATCCATAACCCCAGCGCAAGTTCGCTAACGGTCGGGATGGCTATTTATATCAATTGCGAGCTCGCGATAGCTATTAATCGCAATTGGAAATAGACCTGCGAGGTTTCTCGGCTCGCTTCGTTGGTGGAAAAAAAGCTTAAGATGCTTGAAATAGTGACAAAAATTGAAAATATACCAAATTAACACACAGGCTAATAATACATATATAACTATGTACAATAGGTAGTTTTTTTGTTATTAATTACTTACTGTACACAGAGAAATCACTGATGAATTATTTTCGTTTTCAGACTATCACATTACTGAGCAAGGGTCGTGATCCTCGACGGTTGACCCGCGAGCTGTACCGCGCTGTGCGCTTGCAGGGCGCAGCCTCTTGGCTCCAGCCTACCGATCTGGAATGCGTGCTGTGCTACCATACCTACATCAGTCCCGTGACGACGCCATGCGGGCATAACTACTGCCGCACCTGCATCGAACGCTCCATGGACTATAAGAAATCCTGTGCACTCTGTTTGAGGTCACTCGAGGATTTCAATCTCGCCATTGTAAGCATTCTAATGTATCTTAGTGTATTTATTGTCTGTCGGTGTTCGCCTTGAGTTGTGTAGCCGAATAAAAATCATTGCGCGTCCGAATACCACGCTGCAAAATTGACTACCGTTAAGAATAATTTAGTAGAGAGTAGAGGTCCTTGTAAAAGCGTTCGTCCAGGGAATTACTGCCACCTTACCCATTTCTGCTGCCAAGCAGTAATGTAAGCATTACTGCGTTTCGGTTTGGAAGGGTAATACGGGACTTGTCAATTTATGTCTCAGGGTGACGGGTGCAGTCCCTTCACTTGGTATTATAAAAAAAAAGAAGCCAAAGAAAAAATTATGAATAAAATTAAAATGTGTACATTCTCATTTCATAATAAATGATACTCGTTTTATTACAAGTGGCTGGATGCATCATGTATTTTTTATTTACAGACTCGTGAAACAGTGTTTATTTGCGCTGCTCTGGCGTCGATTGACGCATTGAATTCGCCCTTGCCTCCTGATCCGGATGTGATTCCTATTTTTGTTTGCACAGTTGCCTATCCAACGTAAGTTAAAAATTAAATTACTTATATAATAACCATAACAGAATGTAGGAGGATTTAGAGATAAGCTACATTTCATGTTTAAAATATATATTCGCATAATACTATAATATAAATGCTTGAATGGAGTAGTCGTATCGCCTGGAAGTACACATGACCATAAGCACATAGTGTACAATTCATCATTAGTCTGCAACAACTTGCTCATAATTAAGTCTATAATTTCATAAATATATCTGTTTGTATCTTTTATACATTCTTTATGTTATTGAAGGGTTCAGTCTTGACTTAGAATTAGTTGAAAGGGTACAATGTCCTACAAAGTAAAGATTATATCAGTAATTTTAGATTATGAGCTATTCCATTTCTATAAATAAATATTATTTTATGTTGTCAGGATACCATGCCCTCTGTTTATATTCGACCCGCGGTACTGGCTGATGATCCGGCGCGTCCTGGAATCGGGGTCGAGGAAATTCGGCATGGTCACATATGAACGAGACCGAACCTATTCCAACTATGGAACGGTTATTATATTTTTATATTATTTGTGATATAATAACATCTATGGTTTACACGTTAAGATTCAATTTAAATTCATAATTATGATAGTATTTTTACATTGGTTTGCGTTCCACAGAACATTTGTGTACATAAACTTTAATTACGAACAGGTACTGGAAGTATGTGACTGCGTGCACTTGGAAGATGGTCGATCGATATTGTCGACTGTAGGCGTCTCGCGTTTCAAAGTAATCGAGCGTGACGTCCGAGACGGGTGAGTAACCGATGACTCGACAACACGCGATGTCGTTGTAATATTGTTTACACATTCGGTTCAAGTTTGTTTTTTCGTAAATAATAAGTTAGCTGATACTAGACTCTTTTGAATATAAATATAAACACAGTTGATTATATAATAAAGCTCATTTCAGCGAGTATAATTCGTTATATTACATACCCATGTAGTGTAATCATACCTATTGCAAAGGGGTGATAATGTATTCTACCATTATATTAGATTAATTAAATTGTTTGATCTAGATGTGACGTCGCCCGCATTCAGCCCTTGACTGACATTACGCCAACAGAAGAGCTAGTTATTTGGGAGCTTCGGCTGATGGCCACACAAATTTCATACAAAGCTTTGCTATGGCTGAATAGTATGAACAGGACAGTCCGCTCTGAGATCGAAGCCGCGTTTGGTCATCTCCCGCACTTAGATCCTATCGAAGAGGACTGGTTCGATAGCCCCGATGGTCCCGCTTGGCTCTGGTGGCTCATCGCTATACTACCACTGCGTTCTGAAATAAAGGTATAAAAAATATTAAGTCAAACATCCTATTTCCGCCATTTGTTTGAGCATTTTTTGTAGTTTTGTTTTTCGCACGCAACTTGCTCGGAGTGTTGAAAAACATTGCGTGACCCACGTGCTAAGAGAAAATTACGTACTCGTGTTGATAACTGGCAACTCGACTACGTTTGACGAAAACGTTTTGCGCAATGCATTTGCTAAAAGAAAATTTGAAACTTTGTTCATGACTGGAAAGTCGTTACGTAGTAGGATTTTATCACAATTTAGCAAAATTCAAAACTTTTCTTTAGATTTCGTTTTCTAAGTGACTTAGGTCACGTTTGTACACCCAATCAACGTGAGTGCGGTGAAGTTGGCAATATGAATCAGTAGGGCTAGCACGACAGGACGTGACTTGTGAGAGAGGGACATTGAAGCGCGAGATACTGCTATACTATCTACGTATTCCCATAGATAATAGCAATATTTCGTGGGTCTATGTCGCTCTCGCGCAAGTCGCGTCCTGTCCTGTCGCGCTAGTCCTACTGATTCATATTGCCAATTTCACCGCACTCACACTAATTGTCAAGGACTACTCATGTAGCCGCCAGACCCAAGTAGGTGATGAGGAGCTCGACTAGCTCGTCAAATTAAAAGACGATTTAATTGACTGTAATATATTGGCAATAGGCAGGTGGTTTACAGAAGTAGTGCCATTAATCGCTAAACAGTGATGGTTTCTTATAGAAGTACAATTCAAAAGTGAACGTCCTTTTTGACCTTTTTGGGTTCATACAAAAAGTTGTTAAATTGTGGTAGGGATGAAATAACATCTATATGGTATTAGTTCATTGGTTCAAAATAGACGCCTACATAATGTTTCCTTGACGAGCGTTTAGTTACTGCTTTGCAAGTTAAATTAAATTTTATTACAAAAACAATAAACGTTATGAGTTTAGTAAAAAAAAAAATAAGTTTCATTGAGTCGTAGCTTAAAAAAAAAATGTCAACTAGCTTTGACACTTCATATTTAAAAAAAATGTACTACACTACACTGGGCAAGTTATTTTAAAAGATGGCCCATATAATTAAGATTTCAAAATGGTACTATACTTGCCACTCTTCATTCCATAAAAAATATTATAACTTATGTTTTGCTAAAGGAGCTCGTTTCAAAAAAAACTCATGCCATGATAAATAATACTTTTGTGTGCTCAAAGATTGGCTTTAACGTCGCGGAAGTGAGATGGTCATATGTGATAGAGTGAGATGGATAGTGACAACGCATTAAACAAAATAATCTACCCTAACACATGTGAGTGTGTCAAGTTAATAATTAGTCGATAGTTGTATTATAATAAATTTTAATCAAAATGAAATGAAAGGAACTATTGTAATACTTTAACGTTAAAGTAAATGCTCAAATTGTTTGCCTTCGGCACGAATACAGGCTCTGCATCGTCTCACAAAAGATCTTTTTATCAATCGTGCGAATCTTCTCAAACTAATTTCTTCTGCTGCTTCAACAATTTTGTGGCGTAATTGGGCTAGATTTTCTATAGGTTTATAATATATAATATAATATTTATAATATTATATAATATTTGCCTTAAATTGTTTAATGTCAATGTCATTTAAAAATTGGATGTTATTGGCCCCATGTGGGTACATACTAATGGCTAAAGATGTAGACGAAGCATCTTCCTACCACTGACCCTTTACTTTCTTAATATCTCTGGTGTTAATTGAGGTATAAAAAAAGGTTTTATTTTAAATCCATCTTCAGCATGTTCGTGTAATATGATCGGTGCAATAAGTCAATATCTTTTTCCAATTTTTCTTGCAACTGCGTCTTAAAGGGATGTATATATATTAAATGAATTTATTATAAGTTTTATTTTGTAAATAAATTGTAATTTTTTTATCAGCACGCTTCTGTATTACTAAATGACACTGGCAGTACGTATGTACGTCTTCCGATTTCAGTCACGCTTTCAATTAGGGACCTTATTATGTGTACTCCATCTTTGAATAGGATTTTTAACGATTTTAATAATACATGTAGCGCATAAACATTATAATCTTATTCCAGGTCCTTATTCTTTCTACGAAGAGCCTGCTGAAGCGCATGATGGCTGTATCTCGCACCTTAGAAGCTATCGACCATGTTGCCATATCCAGCACAGTCACCTCCGAATGTGAGCTTACTAACGCTCTAACCAACGCCGAAGAGTGGCTGGAGAGAGGCCCTTGACTTCTCAGCCTAACACCCGAACAAGTCTAGTCAAAACAGATATTCCTATATTACATTATACATCTTCTTCCCTTATACAGCTATTATAGCGTACAAAAATAACTATTATGTTGTAAATTATGGATAAGGGGATAGGGATTCACCTTAAACATTGACTGGACTAAGAATACAATAGATCGTGTCCCTTTTATACACAGGCAGAACCGTATAACTCGGTATTAGCAATGAGTCACTAAAAAAAGACCAATGCTATTGCGTCTTGATATTATTAGTAATAATACGAAATGATTACTAATACCGTCAAGCACAGGCCAAATTATTGAGCACCAGGCTGCTATTTGAATGGCACTGTGGGCTGATTCTAAAGTCAACAAATTTGCTAATTTAAGGACTACGCGCCCGTAATTACGATCTACAGTAACAAATTCATTCCACTTTCCACGCACACTTTTCCACTTTCCAATGTATGCCCCTAACTGATTACTTTTTAATTAGACATCACGATTGAGCGTATTTGCGCTTGCGCGTCATTTCAATCGCGTTTTTTGTCTTTATTTTCCCTTAGGTATGTAGTTGTAAGTGTGCGTAAAGTGCACACTATGGTCACCGCAAGTCGTAAATGTAACAGTGAAATGATACAACGTAGCCCACAGTTGTACATTAATCTATAATATTGAACTAATATACAGACTCGTAAATTGACCCGAGTCGATGCGACATTCCTCGCGTATTTAATCAGAAGGGTTAGACACGTGCCTAGTTTTCTATTCATCGTCAATGTCGATAACGTCTATTGTACACGTCTTTACAAAATTTTCTACATATTTCCGAAGATGACTGAATAATAGTCTTTGTTCATGGCAGGGTCTCCATTGTGATTAATTATATAAAGTTGTATTCAGTTATAGTAGGCATAGCATTGACAAAAGTTCTCTTTAGCATTTATACTACTAAAATTATGAGACCTACTTACTATAAACAAATTATACAGAATTTGTGTAATTGGGTCCTACTTCTCAACAGACGGAAAACTCAACCTTTAGAACATAATACAAATCTATGCACCTGACATACAAGTCCGAAAATTTATAAAAACTTGTAACACACAAACATAATATAATAAGTTCTTAGACCTTTTAAAGTAAACGGCATAAAAGTAGGACCTTACCTTTTACACCTATGTACATAGCTATTTGTAATTCTTCCCCCTAATGTGGGGCCAACCTTATTAATGTGTAATTATTCATGAATTCTTGTAATAACTTGTAACTATTAAATCGGTGTCAAAATTAGTAATCGTGGAATACGTTCATGTGTCTTACAACTGCACCCGCGCAAATTGCTCTATGGGTCCGTTAACACGTCATCAAATATTTACGTGAGCATTAAATAAATACTAAATTTTGTTACACTGCGTAAATATTAAAACTCGTGTACTTACGTTATTTTAACGTTTTACTGTGTATTCTAATTAGATAACTATCGATAAGGACGCTTACGTAAACCATGTTGCTCCAATTCGATCTCTCACGACTCCCTATATTCCTTTACTTCAATTGGGTGTCCCAAAACTGAACGTCAAGCCCACACCGGGCGCGAGGTCAAGTTATATCAGTTCTTGTCAACCTAAAAAAAATCCTTGCCATTTAATTAAGTGATAAAAGGCATATTTTCCAAAAAGGATGAATCACCCTAGACCACATCTTTAGGTACTTTTCTATTTTATTGTTACCAGAACTGATGTAACCTGGCAACGTTGAGTTTTGTGGCACCCATACAGCGTGACTTTATAGGGTCATTCTTTAACTATGGCAAATAAAATAAAAATTCTACGTACGAGTATTCGTCCGCTCACAAAGCACTGCATTGCCCTTTTCACCTATGAAGAAGCTACCTGGTTTACGGAAGCTTCCTGGGGTCTGATTCTCAGATTTTTATTACAGACTTATGTCTATTTCGACTTGTTGATTAACTCATTGACTCCAAAATTTCAATTTTCACACACCTTAGACAGAATGTCGAGCGTTCGGAAATGTCTAGTTTTTTAGTGAATCATGTTGACAGCGTTGCATTATTGACATATTAAGTCTGATTTCTGAACGTCTCACTGATATTAAATGAAAATTTAAAAAAGTGGATGATTGGTCAATCATCCATTTTTTTTAATCAATTTTTTATTGTGGTGTTGGCGCAAAAATTGTTGGTCGCCCGTCAAAAAAGGATCGATTCGCCACGGGCTCCTTCCACTATTTCGCTTACAAAAGCCACTATTAACTCCTACATTAGTCTGAAGGTACACAACCCTCTCTACCTTATCTATATATACATATTATACACTAATACCACAATATAATCACAAACCTATACTACTTAGTACGCCTAAATAATTCACTTACTATTAAATTTGGAATACTAGGTATGTACTAACGAAAATAAATAAAATTTATATAAATAATAAACAACGAAATTTGCACTGAATGCAAGAAACCACGACTGAATCTGTCAAAATAAAAGTCGACTGATAAGTCGAATTCTTGTCGAGTGATGTACACTAGTCGACATTTCAACGAATTGTCGTGTAAATAATTATAGACGAGTCTATCGAGAAGTCATGAGAATACGGGCGCTCGACGTAATTGTCAATTTTTCGACATATGCCTGCGTCGACTTTTATGTTTGTCACACGAGAATCAGGCCCCTGCAGTTACATTTTTGATTAGAGATAACAAATTAACAGCTACTTATATGGTTTTTAAAAATAATGTTGCATGGTTATTGGTATAGCGATTTTATAGTTTATATAGCCAATGAAGTCGCTGATAAAAAAATACAAATATTACACATTTTTGACTATCAATTTGCCACGCTACTCTAAAACGATATTTCATTTACACACTGTAAATACTTCCATCATTTTTCTTTCATCTAATTTATCATGATCAACCTATCACAGTCATGGGCCTTTCCCGATATGCGCCATTTCGTCCGGCCCTCAGCTTGTTAAATTCTCGATGTTTTTAAATTAATTTCAACAAACTATTATAGTCTGTCTTTTTTTTGAAGACTGGAGTAAAATGGACATTTGCAGGGTTGTCAGTTTTCATAAAATTTTAAATAGTCTTGTAGTTGTCGACAGTTTTATCGATAGATTGTTAAAGAAGGTAAAATTTTTCCAAAAATGTCTGAATTGTGAATGTTACGACATTCTAATCATTACTAATTGCGTTATTGCCTTCTTTACTCTTACTGTGACCGTTGGCCTACTAGTATCGAAAACAATATAATAATATATATTAAAATAAAATGAGAAACTTTATAATATGTCTCCTCTTTGCATTTTTGATAGACATAGTTCTTAATGCAGTATAAATTTGTATGAACTTACATAAATTGACAATTCAAATGATCTGTGCCCAGCAGTTGGACGAATAATGGGCCGATAATTATTCAGATGAAACAAGTTAGTTATTTATTGCATAAGTGACCAACATTCAGTCTATAATCGATAGAATATTTATCGACTGCAGTCACTAGCTACTTGCATGCGGGCATTCGCGCAATGAATTGTCATTTTATTTAGTCCATTTAAAAAAAAGATAGACTATAAAAAAATAAAATTTACTTACAGAGTTAATCAGTAAAATTGATCCTTTAAGACAATACTTACTAGCCATCCTATTGAACGTCGCAATTATTATCTCTAATCAAAAGTCCGACTATAATGCGCGCAATATATATATAATAAAATATAAAGTACAATCTCTAATTGTACGTTATACAGGTAGGATCGTAGTTAAAATGGAACAAAATAAAAATTCCTACATTTAAATTTTTATGACAATATGCTCCTAAATACACGTGTAATTCGACTGTAGAACTCCTTCCTATTTGTACATATTTGTTGCAGTATGCGTACTATTATCAATATAATAATTTTAACTTTATACTTATTTCCTTGATAATAAACAGTAACATTAAATAAATATCAAACCGTGCTTGTACATAATATACATTTGCAGTTAATTGGAAATATTTTGTTTTATGTTTTTAATGTAGTACATCAGTAGTATACAGCCATCCCTAGCAAAATTTGTGCTGTTGAGTACATTGTAACATTTTTATTTATAAATGCGAGAATTGGAAACTCATCTATGTGACCTCACCATACAGGAATTTGTTAAATGTTGTATAAATACAGATACCGAAATCATGTGACTCAAATGTTACTCAAGTGTGGGTTTAAAAGATTTTTGAACACTAGTAACTATGTAATATATAACCTACAGCTATATCCAAAAATATTAAATTTCATAAGTAAAGTGTTTGAAGTTAATTAAATATATTACCACATTCCACTTTTACTTTACTATATACTTATTATTTACTCGTCGACACGACAAGACTGTCTTTATGTTGTAAGTTTAAAATGGTATGTTGTTAAGCATTTAATGCTCTAGTTTCTCATAGATTATATGTTATTTCTTGTGTTATTTTAAATAATACGATCAGACGGCAAGTCTGACGGCGATAATATGTATATTCAGTGTTTATTATTTACTTCCAATATATAATGTACATGTTCTTTTTTCTATCTTTATTTTTCCTACATATAGTGTAATTTTAGTTATCTGCGTACGATCTCAGACAATTTTAAATTGAAGTGTAATGAAGATAAGAAATTAATGTAAGTAAAATAAAGCTTTGTACTAATTAATAATTAAAAGAAGTTGTCAACCTTATAAGAAGTTCTGTTTATTTTTGTTACGAAAACATTTCTATTTATCTTTATTGATTGTAATAATAATATTAATACCCAATATGCACTTTGTTAAGTTAAATTATAAATACGAGATTAAAGATTCCTCTTTTATTTATAGGCAATCCATAAAATTGAAAACGACTTTTGCATTATCTTCTGTTTCCTACTTTAAATGCAATCGCGATCTCTATAATATTTTTCTTAATCACGAATGTAGTTGTATTCTAAGTAATCTCAAATTAAGAAGATATTCTTCGATTTAAAATCTAAAATTTTCTTTACTGTGCGTTCTTCGAAGCTTGTTGGTATTTAGCATAACGAAATTGGAGTTATGTTCGCCATAATAACGTGCACTCAGTGTATCGAACACGCCTTGTTAACTTTACGTACCAAGATTACAAAATCTTTTGAGGTATTAAAAAGAATAATGAACGGAGTTTTATTATATGTGTCATTAGTTACATGTAAAGGTACCTTAAGATTGCTCATGTGTAACATTCACTTTTGGGGTATGCAAGTACTAAAAAAATTCATCAATTTGTACAAAAATTAACATTAAAATTTCATCATGAGGTACCTGGTAAATACATTGTGATATTATGTACATCTATACGTTATGTATAGAATGACACAAAAATTTACTCTCTTGTAGCATGTAAAAGAGTTTTTTTTAACAGAACCACTGTATTTTGTACTATTACTTAGGTTACCATACAATGAAAGTTTAAGCTTTTAAACTAAAGAATTCAAAGTAAAGGTCCACAAAGCTAACTATTGCTGTGATTCAAAGTTCTAATTTTCCAAAACTTATTTGAATATTGCATTGCCGTAGTTCAGAAGCTTGGACGTCTGTTAATAGTGGTTATTCCAATACTCGCCACGCACTGCTTTGATGTACCTACCTACTTTCCAATAAAGCATTTTCATTTCTTAACGGTTTTGTTTTTTATGATGTGCAAAAGATTTGGCTGTAATGGGGCGATGATGTCAATCAGTTTGTCCGGGCAGTATTTGTTTATGGTAAATTTTAGGTTTACCATGATCTTCTTTACTTATTTCGAATTTACTAATACATAGTAGTTAATACCTACTCTGAGAAGAAAAAGTCGTGAAGTGTATGTATGTTAGTAAAAGAAACTTCGCACATCGATTTTTCATGTTTTCTTATTTTTTGTTCTTTGTTTTATTAACTTTTTTGTTACGAAAATCATAGTAAACAGTACAGTAAACATTACAATAAACACACAAAAATTTAATGGCAGCCTTATGGCAGCGACAAAATATTGGCGTTGACAAAACAGAACAAACTCATTAGCTGCAGTCGTCGAGTGTATAACCATACAGTTAATAATTTTTAAACCCTTTCAGGACTATAGAAGTATGAGCGAAAAAAAATATTTGATTACTATATTATGGTTAATTTGTGGTTAAAGTTACGCGTCCTATATGAAAATATTATTTTTTTCCAAAAATACGCGAAATTTCAAAGGACGTATGTGTCCCTGTGATCATCAAGGGATAATTCAGAGAAACCCACCTAGATAAATTATTAAATACAATGCACATGGTTTTGGCCTTGGTTATTCACTAGCCATGAAACGTCAAAAAACCATTGCCTCATTTACAAATTTTTCAATCTTACTTCAGACTTCCTTTTTTCCATCCTCTAAAGGTTTCTTAGCGTGTCGACTACTTAAAGGATAGAAAAAAAGTCGACTCTGATGTTTACATTTGTGAGGACCAGTACAATACTTAGCGTCTGGACACAGCGTTATCACTGGCGTTGTACAGATCCTCGAGTGTGCAGGTGTAGAGACACGCAAGCCACGACAAAAGATATGCCATTGTCTGGGAAGAAACACTACTCATATATAATACCCCATCTGTGCATGCTCTACTTGCTTCGGCCGACTTGGGTCCGCAGCCTATTTATAGACTTCCAAGTTTGCCAAGATAGGTGATGCCCAGGAGGGAGGCGCTCCGACAGCGGAATGAGTGACGCTGTGGGATACCTCTGCTTCCAGAGACTTATTCGGGCTCGGTAATAGTTCCCCATCCAGAGGGAATACTTCTTAATGAAGCTATGGCGACTCTTTAGGCTATGGATTACCGGTACGTGATGGTCTTAGACTATGGAAACTAATTATTTTTTAATTATCTTTTATTTTTTTCCATCCTCTAAGGTGATGGTACAGGGGGTGCCACAGGTCAGTCTCTTTTTTTAAACGTTCTAGAGAGGTAACCACGTTTGTGCGGACGTCCGGAGGGGCATCACCAACCAACGAATACAGCATATCTACCAAAAAGGGTTGGTTTCAGACAGCCCTTATTGATTCAGCATGTGTAGTTTAGTGCTGTGTTCACCAGGTGCGTGTGTGGTGTATTTATTCGCCAGCCGACAAGAAAAGGGTTAGTCCGGTCGTTCGCGAAATTTGTGGCGAAGCTCCCCACTGGAAATATGTAAGTCGGCGCAGGCAGGAGGTTGTTACAAATCTTTCTATTATTATTTAATATATGCCTAAACTTCTATTTATTATCATTAGAAATACACTATACTTGTTATTTTACCATAATTCCACTTTCTTGATTTGTTTTGTAGAAATATTTCCAAATTATTTAATTTTCTTTTACATTATATTCCATGATTAACTTTTTCCAATTTGCAGTGGCATAAACGCACATCGCAAAAAGTAGATGCAAAAAAAACTAGTTATCTATGTACGCACGATGTGACATACCTACATATGTTTTATATAACCTTCATTTCATGATTTTATTTTATTTTAGAATGCCTTTAATTAACACAATTTACAAGAGCACGATATTCACTACCATTACAGCGTAAATTCTGCCTAACTGACTGCATTTGGGATAGCAGTTCTTTGTATTTAATTCAATTTCATTACCTATTTTAGTTTGAATTTTGAAGTGATCATGGCTGCATACGGACTAAGCTGCAGGTTCTCACCACCGCCACCATGTACTAGATTACTGGAACCAGGGGCTTATGAACCAGATGTACGATTGTGTTCAAAACATGTAAAATCAAATAGATACCCTTTTCTCTCAAATGCACCACGCAATACAATGAATGTGTGTAAATCATACACAGATGCTATTTACGATACTGCTATACCCCATAGGATACCAAATTGCACATCACTAATGGCAAAATGTCCCAGATTTCCGTATAAAGCTTTCAGTAAAAAGGATTTAGAGGAAATACTTTGTCGATGCGGTTTGGACAACCCATGCGAATGTCACACGGGAGAAGAAGAGGAGGAAATTGTCTGCCAAGGAAAAGTGCGCAGACGGCTGTATATAGGACCACCGCCACATTCGTCTTTGGCAGGAGGAATATCCTGCCCTTCTCGAAATGATCGTGGTTTCGACGTGATGCCTGATGGTTCTATGCGTCGATCACTGAATGTAGTCAAAGAAGCAAGCCCACCTTTTTATGACACTAGGGTAAATGAGTCTACGGCATTCTACCAGGGGTGCAAATGGAGTAAGTGGACATCTCAACGATCTATGAAATCGTTAGAAGTACTACCAGGTCCAGCACATTACCACATAGAGAGGGAAATTGCTGCCGAAGAAAAATGTTATGAAATTATTAGAGAATATCGACGTAAGACATCTAAGCTCGTGCGATCAATGGAGAATCGAAGGGGCCCTGGGCCTTCAGACTATTCACCTCAGTTACCAAAACGCCCTGAATTAAAATATTTGGGTCCGAAAGCCAAAAGATTCTTATCCTCTAAATATGATGTGCGGCCAAGCCCCGCTAGGTACTCAATTAAACGTGATTTTGATCCTCCCAATATTCCATTCAATCCTCGCTATAGTACATTACCTTTGCCGTCACCAGCTGGTTTTGGTTCCAAGGATACTAGGTTAAAATATCGTGTTTCATGTGGTCCAAGTCCAGCCGATTACAATGCTAATGTAAAACTTTGTCGTATCTTATATTGTGGTAGTCATAACGCTCCATTTAATTGTTCTGCAAAGAGATTTCAAGATACTGAAATTGGTTATGAATACGACGACGAAGGTGAAGACTCCAAGAGCCAAAGCGATGATGATGATCACCCGCCAATATTACTTAAGCCTAGGGAGTGCCCTCAGTTAACATGTCAGTTCAGATCTAATACTTCTAGATTCAAACCACTGTACAAGAAACTACACGAACCTAGTCCTGCTGATCTAGGGCTAGACCTATTAAGCAAAAACCACAAAGAAAAATCTGTGATGCTACAAATGGTTGCACCATTCACGTCGTCTCAGGGCCGGTTCCGGCGTTGGCACAACTGGATGCCAGTGCATAACGTGTATGGTACGCCTGGACCAGGATACTACAACTGGGATAAACCGAAATGCTATCCAGCTGTTCGTTGTGGCCCACTATTCAGAACCCAACGTTTCAATGAAAAGGGCGACGCTATGCCGGCACCAAACGAATATAAAGTTGGCGGTGGTGTTGACGATGTTCTAGTAACATATAACAGAAGATTATTGGACAACATCAAAAAACAACACAAATTCCATTGGGAGTTACCGGTTGAACCCAGACAGTTAGATTACAAGGAACGCGAGTTAGCTCTATTAGATAAAGCCATAGCGAATTTAAGCACCTCTGATTTTATGCGTAAATCGGACGATCCTATACCAGAGCCGGTACAAGAAGAACCTAAGCTCAAAAAACAAAAATTGTTACGAAGTCTTTTGTACAAAAAGCCAATACCATATAATATTTAGCAAAATGTACGTTTGTTATAGTTTTTATATACAAACATGTGCGTCCTACCAATTCATATAGTAATCCTATTCGTACTGGAAATCCTATTTTTATAAATTATAATATATAAATACCAACGTAAAATATATATATATATATATATATATTATTTGACTATTACTGGCACCTATAGGTATTAATAAAACACCCATTCACTTCTGTATGACAGTCCGGCGACCAGGCAGGAGACTGCTCACATACAATCCTTCATATGGCCCTCGTATGGTGTCTCGCAGTATGTATTGATGAATGGATGACACTTATTCAGCATCGTGCAGACGCTTCGCTTCCCTCATCAATTTTTGTTCTATGATCAATGCTCAAATAATCGTTGAGTGTCCAGCCTGCAATGAATAGGGACCAGGGCCCAGATTTTAATTGCCTCTCCCGATCGGAAACTGCGTCTTTTCCGAGTCGAGGCTTATAATATTGCGGATCGATTCCGATTTCAACTAAAATCAGACTTCTGGACCCACTATCGAATCGATCCGATCGGGTAGCCCATCCGCAATATTATACGCATCGACTCTGAAAAGACGCAGTTTCCGATTGAGAGAGGCAATCAAAATCAGGCTGCAGTAGGACTAGCACGACAGGGCGCGACTTGCGCGAGAGCGACATAAAGCGCGAGATCTTTATGCGACAATAGCAGTATCTCGCGCTTTATGTCGCTCTCGCGCTATTTCGCGCCCTGTCGTTTACTTCCGGAAGAAGAATTGCAGGATCTTTTGTAAATCGTTTCTGGTCTGGGTAGTGTAGATAATTAGAATAGCCCTGAATTATTTCCTTGCTCTTTACATGAACGTTGTTGTATACAGGCTACAAAGAACAAAGACTTCAATCTAAGTAGGTATGTATGTCGATTCTGATATGTTACATACATAATAAATAGATATCGTTGTGTACAGCAGTACTAGTTGGAGATCATGTAACGAATGGTCATTCTAGGTTTGTAAAAAATATCGATATATAAAAATGTCGATATGCGTTCATGAAATAAGCGACATAATAATGTATATTATATTGTCCATATTTTCAATCTCGATACATCAAGAATAGATTTCGAGCCTCTTCAATCACTTAACATGGTGATCACCTCCTTTCCCTCAACATCTTTTTACTTGACCACCGTTGCGTTGTGCTTTTTACTTGGCTTTTTAATTTTCGAATTTCGTTTCATATTCGTTCGAAAAAATGTACGCCTTTGCCTCATGAGCCCATTTTAAAGAATTGAGTAATTATTCGAGTAATTGACAATCAATTCTGTAATCTGCCCTCGTAACAAAAAAAGGCATAACTATGTTTTATTATAAAGCAGTTGTGCCTTTTTTCATTCGGGAGGTAGTAATATGCTGCAATGCTCGATTTAATCAAGAATCTATTTAACTACGTTCCATTCGTATCGAATAGGTGATCGACTTTTTAGAGTGCATCAAAGTCAAAGTCAAAGATTATTTATTCCATACGTAAACTCTATAAATATTTACTCTATAGGTACATCTTTGACTTTGACTTTGACATCTACATAATTCTACTGCTAAATTATATTAAACTCTGTGCTACTTAGCAATGCCCGATTTTTTACTTTGAATCGTTTTTTTTTATCGTAATGGATTATAATATGCTTCTGAATCGATGCACAGGTCGGATCATAAGTTATGTTCTTGAATTGATCTTATAAAAATCGTTCCAAGTAAGTTTTGATAAAAAAATTTACAATAATGACAACCTGTTCGACTTCAGTCGGTTACTACTTTCGTCTAGAGTGATATAAACCAGTGAGAAAAATCAGGTGGCCCAGAAATAGCGACAATCGCCATAAATATTTCAAAGATTTATTGTTTAGTTATTGGCCAAACTATTTATCTTGTAGACTGTTATAAAATAGGATTAACCTTACATTTCAGTCGAGATTCAGAAAAACTGTTTTATTATATTTATGCATACCATCTAGCTAGACGATTCGATTCGCCTTAGTGTTGAATCTATTTGCTTAAAAATCGTTAGAACGAATACACTTGAATCGATCTTCATCAAAATCGAATCGCCATGTGCATCCAAGACTGCTATGAATGAAATGTCATTGGCTTGTCATTGTAATAAACTCTTTGTCATCTCTGTGGTTGTTAATATTGTCAGTGTCATCGACGAGCATGAGTTTAACGAAAACGAATACAATACACTAAAAAAAGATTGTGTTGCTGCTCAAGTCCAGCTCTCAGCTAATACCGATTGTTTTGCGTTATTTTAATTATAAAGACATATTAATGTACATAAGGCAGTCTCATATTTATATTTTTTTATCCTATGTCATGATTCCGAATTTATTATAATGTAATAAACAGTGCTTATAGTAAGTGAAAGTAATTATGTACAGTCAGCGTCACTGCAGTGTTTTACAAACAAGACCAAATTATAAATTATATATTTACTTACAATTAATTCCATAACTTCTTCTAAATATACCACGTTGTAAGTAATTGCTACTTACGCCAGGATTTCCTTGAAGTTTAGAAGAAATATCCTTTATCTTTAGTGATAATATTCGATACCAAAGTGCACCTTGGATTTATAAGCTACTGGAAGATAGATTGTTATCAAATATGTAGATATTACACTTATTAGCTATTTGACATAATCCCTGTGGATATGTTAGGAATGATATTTTTTCATTTCACTATTCAAATGCTACTTATATAAGGTGCCATCAAATTAGATAGGTTAATTTTAGAGTCATCACATTGTTTTAGAAGGATAAATTTAAAATACAAAGAAAAAGACTTATGTGATTTAAAAAATATTTACCCATTCAAAAAAACGAATTTATATTCTTCCCAAACACCCTTACTAACAGAATAGAGGTACTTTGTTAACAGAGATACTGCAATATTGACATACTTTTTCATTTTAATCTTGAAGAGACCAGTAATAGTCAAAAGATTTAAAAAGGCAACATTGAAGAGATTAGAAATGCTAAATTGTTATAATTATTGTTGCATGGTCGTAACTACAAATAAGATATTTATTTTGGAGAATTTAAATCACGTAAAATATATTCAATTGCTTCAGACACTGACATGAGTAAAAATAAAAAACGATAGAACATAGACAAAAAAGTAAACTATTAGTGCTGTTCCATCACTCCTCCTCACTAAGGGTCGAGGCCAAGGTTCTTGATAATCTTTATTAGACTGGGACCTGGTAAAGCCTTAGTGAACATATCAGCTTCTAATTCATCGGTTCTTTTATATTGCAGCTTAATGAAACCTTCAGACACCTTTTCTTTAATAAAGTGTCTTCTTATTTGAATATGTTTCGAACGTTTGTCCACAATCGGATTTCTTGCTAAGTGTTGTGCTGCCTAATTGTCATTATATAAGACCATGACCTTTTGATCAATTCCAAGATCTTCACACAATTGTAGCAAGTACATGGCTTCCTTAGCTGCTTCGGTCAATGCCATATATTCACTCTCTGCGGTTGAGAGAGCCACAGTTCGTTGTTTCTTAGATTCCCAGCTTACAATACCACTGGCATATGTAAAACAGTACCCACTATATGATCTACGGTCAATTTCACACGTAGCCCAGTTGGCATCTGAGAAACCTTCTATTGGCTTCTGTGCTCTCCTGTAGGTGATACCCATTTCTATGGTTCCTTTCAAATATCGAAGAATCCTTTTTAAACTTTTATAGTGTTCTTCAGTATAACAATTGTTGAACTGACTCATATAGGATACTGCGTAGGAGATATCTGGCCTTGTGGGCACTGCCAAATACATTAGACCTCCAATCAAGTTTTGGTACGGATAGTCATTGGTATTTGTTTGTGCTTTAGCTGGACCCTTTAAAAACTTTGTGCCAGGTTCCATTGGAGTTTTTGACGGCTTGCAGTCTTCCATGCCATAGGTTTTAAGTAGCTTTTTGATATATGTAGATTGCGACATTTTTAATGTGTTTTCAAGTTTATTATATTCAATTTTTATGCCCAATATTTGATCTACTTTAAGTTCTCTCATACAAAACGTTTTTAACAACCTTTGTTTAACGTCATTCCATTTATTACCTTTAAAAGTAACAATAATGTCATCAACGTATATAGCGATGTTAATAATATCTTCCTCTCCCCCTTTCACATTAAGTCTATATACGCAGGGATCAGCATAGGATGGGAAGAAATTCAAAGCTTTTAAAGTACTGTCAAGTTTTTCAAACCATTGTCTTGGCGCTTGTTTTAAGCCATACAGCGCTTTCTGTAAAAGGCATACTTTAGGCTTTTTTATATTATTTTTTAAATCTTGTAGCATAATCCTTGCTGCTTCCGATTGTTCTTCGTCATTTTGTATTATCTCGCATAGGATTTTTTGTATATGATCAGGTATTTTCTTATAGATTTTTTCATGCAAGTCTCCATTTAGAAATGCAGTTGTGACATCTAACATTTCTATATTTAAGTTATTTTCAATAGCATTTGCCATTACCATTCTAATAGAGCTTAATTTTGATACAGGTGAATAAGTTTCATCAAAATCGATCCCAGCCATTTGGTTAAAACCTCTAGCTACTAATCTAGCTTTTAATCGTTCGACTTTTCCATCAGCTGTGTATTTTTCTTTTAATATTATTTTGTTAGTTACTATGTTCATACCTTCTTCTTTATCTATAATTTTCCATGTTCCATTTTTCAGGTGAGCTTTGAACTCTGCTTTTATAGCTTCATGCCATTTAGAGTCTGATTCGTCTTTATCCGAATCACATAGGTAAGCATAATCATTCTCATTATCATTTACAATTTCATCAGTAGTTTTCATTACATAGTCTTTGGACCAAATAGGTAATTTCTTTATTCTTTCAGAACTTTGACGAGGCTCTATTCCATCAACAGCGTTTTCAGCAAGAGAAGTGTGGGTTTCAACCTCACTATCATTATCAGACTCAGTATTTAGCTGAGTATTGCTCATATCAAGAGAAACATTCCTTGCCGGGTTGCTGTCCGGAATGAACACGTCAATAAAGTTTTGTTCATCAATATTCTGTTCCTTATTTGTAGAGTCTTCAGTTGCAAAATACATTTTATTTACAATACGTACATCTCTGCTAATTACAACATTATCTGTCTTGGGTAGATAAATCAGATAGGCTTTTGATTGCTCTGAATATCCTGCAAACATACCTACAGATGCTTTTGGTTCAAATTTAGTTCTGTATCGCTTATTCAGTACAAAGGCTTTTTGACCAAATATGTGTAGATGTAACCCAGAAGGGACACGACCGACCCATTTTTCAAAAGGTGTGTCATTATTAATACTTTTATTTATGCATCTATTTGATAGGTAATTTGCGGTGTAAATAGCTTGACCCCATAGTTTCTCAGGTGCTTTTGACTCTATTAACATAGTTCTAGCTTTTTCTTGTAAGGTTCTATTTTTCTTTTCTGCTAGACCATTTTGTTCACTGGTGTAGGGGCAGGATAATCGCCTCCTTATTCCATTTTGATTAAGGTAATTTTGAAAGTCTTCATTTAGATATTCTTTACCATTGTCAGTTTGTAGGCATTTTATTTTTAAATCAAGCACATTTTCCATTTCTTCTTTGTATATCTTAAAGCATTTTAGAGCTTCATTCTTTTGTTTCATGAAGTAAACACGAGAGTACCTCGAGAAATCATCAATAAACGTTATGAAATATTTATTTCCTGCATGCGTTGGTACTCGCATTGGACCACATAAATCGCTGTGAACAATTTGTAACGGTTTATTAGTTCTAGGTTCAGAAGCTGATTTATACGTTGTTTTAGTCATCTTCCCTTTAATACAGGCTTCACATTCTTCTAACTTATCATTTTTATTGAACGCCATGCCTTGAACCTTATTATTTTTTAGTGCTAATTTCAAATCTTGCTCATTCGCATGTCCTAACTTTTGATGCCACTCCATAATATTATTACAATATGAAGAGTTGACTTGTGGTTTTACATGTCTTGGCGTTATATAATATAAACCATCTTCACACTTAAACGCTCTCATTGTTATCTTTCCTTTTGCATTCTTTACTGTGGCCACTTTGTCTCGGAATAAAATGGTATTTCCATAACTTGTACTTTTTCCAACTGACATTAAGTTAGTATTTAGGCTTGGTACATATAGAGAATCAAACAAATTGTGTCCTGATTCTGGTACCTTGAAAGTGACCGTGCCTTTTCCTTTTATTTCTGTGTAGAAGTTATCTGAGGCTAGGCTGAGATTTTGTTTAATTTCTTGCATATCATGCAGATAATCTCTATTTTTGGTCATGTGTGACGTACAACCACTGTCAAGAACCCATTCATCTTCTTCAATAATTTTGTTGTTAAGTGAAGATAGACACTTTTCATTGGCTAAATTTGCCGAGTTGTTGTTATTTTTATAGCCTTTATTATTACGTGTTGCATTTTTATTTTGGGACGTACTTGGTTTGTTGTAACAATCTGTAATTGTGTGCCCTCCTTTTTTGCAATAAGTGCAAAACTTGAACTTACGCTTTTCTTTGTTTTGGCCATAAAAGGCTTCTTGCTGTACATTGACTGTATTTTCGCTTGCATAGCAATGCTTTCTTGATTCACTTTCCTCGATTATTTTAACTTTTAACTCTTCTGGCTTAGGTAGAACATCTCTAGTTTCGATTGCTACTCTAAAGTTGTCATACGACGGAGAGAGACTATACAGCATTAGAAAAGTGAGGATGTCGTCATGAACTTGTATGTCCATTTCCGCTAGTTTATCAGCAGTTTCCATAAATTGCTTCAAATGATCTTTAATTTGATCGTCATTTGTAAGTTTTGACAGAAGTAATTGTTTTAATAGCGATGCTCTTTTGGCTGGCCCTTTGGAATCATAAATGCTTTTTAGCTTGTTCCATATATCCGCTGACGTTTTGCAATTTTTTACTTGTTTTATTTCAGACGGACATATCAATAGCAACAGCTCTGACTTCGCTTGGAGGTCCCCGTCCTAATCTTTGGATGTTATAGACCCTGAAATGTGTTTCCACAATCCATTACGCGTTAAAACAGCTTGAGCCTGTATGCACCAGGTCTCATAGTTATTTTTTCCCAACGGTTCTATTTTGTAGTTCGCCATTTTTTTTTATACAATATCTTAATTGTTTTATTTTTATTTTATTTATTTATATTTTTATAATATTTCGCGAACTTCCAACTACGCTCTGCTACCATGTTATAATTATTGTTGCATGGTCGTAACTACAAATAAGATATTTATTTTGGAGAATTTAAATCACGTAAAATATATTCAATTGCTTCAGACACTGACATGAGTAAAAATAAAAGACGATAGAACATAGACAAAAAAGTAAACTATTAGTGCTGTTCCATCATAAATAATAATCAAAATTAATTCTGAAACACACTGTTTAGTAATGTTTTTTTAAGTTTCTTATAATACTATTATCTTACTTCAAAGTGATTATAATGAGTCAATTAGATCTAAAAGTATCTTCACCTATTTTGTTAGCACACTGTATAATGTAAATACTGAATACTTAAAATAATTATTTTTTTTGTGTTTTTAAGGATATTAATCTCAAGATGGTGGTTATAAGATGGCGCTTCCAACTGAGGAGGATTATTTCTCGAATCAGGTATGACATCAAATTTCAACATTTCATATTTTGCTATAAAAGGTATAATGAAGAGTTGCAAAAATTATATGCTCTATCAATACCAATACTTGGATAAATAGGATCAATAGTTTTTCAATGGTCATTTGAGTAGTCCACTTGCAAACAGCTCTGTGACATTTTTAATGATTTTTAGTTAATGGTGTAAAATGGATCAGTATTTTAAATAATTTCAAATACTTCAACAATGCAGTGCCAAAACTTGGTATATTCTGAACAAATCAGTGTAAAATGCTGACTACTATTGCAAAAGTCGCTATCTTTCTTAGTTTTACACTGTTAAAAGTTGCCTTTTTGTCATCAACCTGCAAACGCTGCTCTATTGAGCATAAACTTGTGCAAAATCCGCCTTTTTTGTTTGGTATTTATTGTTTTGTCATCCAAAAGATCACTCGTGTTCATTTATTAACGCTCATCAAACATTTTGGAGAAGATTGGTTTACATACGAAATACTTGAATTTTACACGCATTTTTTCGGGCAAGTAAAATCAAATGTGACTGAAGAAGAAATGACAGGTAATGAAAATACATTGATGATTGACGACGCGGATGAGACTAAAGGAAAACTAAAATTAGATTTAACTTGTATTTTTTACTTTTATTGCAACAAAACTAGCCATGTTATCATTGTGTTGTTGCAAAATTCTGAACAATTACAAAACTAGTCATTTTAAGATTACTGTTGCAAAACTCTCGTATGTTCAATTTTTAAATGGAAATAAAGTAAAAAGTTTAATACTGTGATTTTGTTTCTTCATATTGTTCATATCTTTTTTATCACAATTTTCAGACAATTAAAAAAGTACCATTTAAAAATCCGTTTTCGGAACAATAATTATTCTTTTGAGTTTATAGCTTTTTTATCCACACACATATTGCAGTTTGCTAGTGGATCTAAGCTTGTCAAGTAGAAGATGTTCAGTAGCTCATAATGTCGTAACACACACTCAAGTTGACAAGTAAAGACTGAATAGAATTTAAAGACATAGAAATATATTCAACAATTCATATTTCAATCATAGAATTTTTCCACATCTGTTTATTGCATCGAATCTTTACAGAGAATACTTGACGTGGAAATTCAATGAGGCAGTATTGACGTACCACTCACTTACATATAATGAGCACATGAACCAGAGCTATGCGGTCGATGTGCTATTGGAGCCAATATTTTGGATTGTTGACAATTTTGCATACTGCATTGGAAAGGTCTGGAACTAGTTTGTTTATTACTGCTATATTAGTGGTCTGTGGCATATTCATTTATCAGACAATGGCTTCTGTATTGTGATTTACAGTATAGCCAGTATAGCTTCAAGAATAGTTTTTTAAATATGTTTAGACTAAGTACTGGTAAATACGCTGAAGTGTAATTTTCAGGTAACTTTTTTCTTCCTAATTTGGGGGGCAATTTTTATTATTTAATTACTCTAAAATATTATCATGAAATATTATTTAATATTCGATTGTATCCTAGTATCCTGAAACATACACATCAAACGTTCTTGCCGATTACTGAAAATCAGGTTTTGCAATAATTTTTTTTAACACCAAAGCACCACCAACATAACACCAAATTAAAAAATAAGCAACTTAATTAATAATTTATTAAATTTATTTGGATATTCTTATTTACCTTTAATATCGTAATCAAATATTTAAAAAATACTTTGAAATTTGAAAAAATGTGTAGATATTTTAGATGTGTATATATTTAATATTTCACGATAATATAATACACTTGAATAAATATTCAAGTATGTTATCGTGATATATTGTTGTGGCAATTTTTATTGTTTAAATAAACAATAAAAATTGCCACCAAAATTAGATACACAAAACTGACCAGAAAATGAGCTCAAAGTACAATCTTACTCATCTTTCAGAAGTAAAGATCAAAACAATTACAATATTTAAGTTCTTATTTTAAATAAGTCCAGCTTATTCACCATAGTTGTCATGCAATAGTTGTAATCCAGTGATGTAATATATCGTAAATACATAAAAAATTTGCCTAATATTAGTTACGGCATTCAGTTATACCGTAAATACGTAAAAAATTTGCCTAATATCAGTTACGGAATTCAGTTAGAAGAGGGACTACATGAGTTAGTTCTATCTATACATATATAACTAATCTTGACTTTACATTTCCAGGCTTTTGTCTTTTGTGTGACAGTGCTCACTACAGCAGTAGTTATGATAGCTTATTGGGTTGGTCTTCCATACTGGTGGGAAAGATCTCCAAACACTACTATATTCCTAGTTGTGTTTGGTAATTGGCTATTGCTCAATGTAGTATTTCATTATTACATGGGTGTAAGCACACCACCAGGATACCCCCCTAGTGTAAGTATCTAGTTTGAATTTTACTTATATTGATTATAATGAATATTATGATAGTAAATGTAAAACTACCATGATTTTCATTTATTTTTGTGAAATTACGCCATAAAGTTACGTTACTGAAGATTTAGAGAAAATCTAGTTTAGTATTAGGGGTTAAAGTATGAAATTGCCGTTTTATTGCAATAGGTTCTTTGAATTTTCATAGAATCTTCATGGTTTGAGGTTTTCGAATGAAACTTTTTTCAAATGGTTTCTGTGATAATTTTTTTTTTTAAATTTGAAACATTTGAATATCGACTTTCAATTGTTTTTGTTATTCAATTTAGACAAGAAAGATGGATACTGCGAAAATTCGAGTGATTTTTGAATACGAGTTCCGACGCGGAACTAACGCGGCAGAAACAGCCCGCAATATCAATGCTGCGTTTGGAGAGGGGTCTACTAATGAACGCACCGTGCGATTTTGGTTTAAACGCTTTCGTGATGGAAATTTCGACTTAAAGAACGAGCCACCAGGAAGACCGCCCACACAGGTGAATAACGATGAATTAAGAGAGATAGTGGAAGCCGATCCTAGTCAAACTACCCAGGAATTAGCGGCATGGTTTAACGTTACCTTACCCACAATATTGACTCACTTGCGTCAAATCAATAAAATAAAAAAATACGAAAAATGGGTGCCTCATGATTTGACTGATCTGCAGAAAGAAACGCGTGTTGAAACTTGTGTTGCCTTGTTGAACCGGTACAGAAATGAAGGAATATTGGATCGAATTGTAACATGTGATGAAAAGTGGATTCTTTATGATAACCGGAAAAGAAAAATGCAATGGCTGACCCCAGGTCAAATGCCACAACAGTGTCCTAAAGCAAAACTTACCAATAAAAAGGTAATGGTAACTGTTTGGTGGTCTCAGCATGGTGTTATTCACTATAGTTTTCTCCGATCTGGTCAAGCAATAACGGCAGATGTCTATTGTGCCGAACTCCGAACCATGTTGACAAAACTAGCAGTAAAACAGCCCCGACTCATGAATCGATCTTCACCATTATTGCTCCACGACAACGCGAGACCTCACACAGCACGAGAAACCATTTTGACCCTTCAGGAACTGCAGTTAGAAACCATTCGTCATCCTCCGTATTCACCAGACCTTGCTCCAACGGACTACCATTTTTTTCGTGATTTGGACAATTATCTACGTGACAAGAAGTTTTCTTCCCAGGAGGCAGTACAAAATGCTTTCACACAGTTTGTGCAGTCTAGATCGTCGGAGTTCTATCGCAAAGGCATTAATAACCTTCCCATTAGATGGCAGCAATGTATAGATAATAATGGCAACTATTTTGATTAAATAAATTTGTTAAAAATTTAAAAAATAAACAATTTAGATTTTCAGTACAAATCGGCAATTTCATACTTTAACCCCTATTATTTATTACATACTTCTACATACAGCAAGGCACTATCTGCACACGCGTAAATGTGTGCATGAAATGACAGGGTTACCCATCACTTTCTCGTGCAATTTACGTTACGTGGACAGAGCGGCAACATAGCGAAAATTCTTAAACGAATCTGTTTCTTTAATTCTATTAAAATAATCCTAATAATTACACATGTTCATTAGGTATTTATGTCGATATAATATAATATTTTTCATTAATTCACTAACTAGAATAATATTGAAGATTTATTTAAAAAATATATTAACAGCACTTAAAACATTGTATTTTGGACAGGTTTTAAATAAGGTCACCAAGGTATTTGAAATTGCGTGTCCAAGTTTATCATTACCTAGTTAATAATTAGGTATATTCACTACATAATATTTATCGGCAATAGAATTGAAAATTCGAGAACCTTTGTCTACTCACGAAGTTATAGCGTTTCATTATATTGATATAATAAAGCTGTACTAAATATTACTCTGCACTAAATAAACGAACAAAACAATACCTGAATGAGTCTCAGATATAAGTTTTTGTCATCTTCCTTTCATCTTTCGGAAAACGAAAGAAACTCCTCTCTTTATCCAGTTTAGATGATAATAAACAGCCGTACACACCACAATTTACGACCATTATAAATAGTAACGTACAATGATGTTATATATTAACGTACAAGTTTCGTAATGAATAAATGAAAACTATATTCAAATATCAAAGTCGTCTTGACGCGAAAACGGCTCGCCGACAGCCTTGTTGTCGTTCAGTCAATGTGACCGTTAATGTGCGGGGCTTGGTGCGGTATCTAAATCTAGGGAGTGTCCATTATTTACTTTTTTGTTCTCTGAAAGAAACGCTTTGGTGATCATTGGTGCCATCACTCTTTATTATAATTATTAATACAAAGATCGAACACATACAAAAAACAGACACAGATCCTGTCAGATCGAAGGAATTTTTGTTTGTGTTTGATCTTTGTATTAATAATTACAACAAATTTTACTTATGTAACAAGTGTGTTACTTCACGAGAAATTCCTAATTACGTAGTATGAGAATTTAAGATCTTAGCGTACTAGTTAAGCGTTATCCATCTAGGTAATCTTATGGTACTAGATTAGATTAGGTAGTCTTAATTTAATTGCTCTAAAATGAATTTATTTTTAAGGTTATCAGGTTGTCGAATGTGTATTGAATAACATTACATTTCTACTAGCATAGTGAATCAATAATGATAGATTCTTACTAATTCAATTCAGGTTTTCAATTATTATAAATAACTCATCTATTATGTATGCCCCTTAAAATTTACAGTACTGTCTATCTAACTATATATCCAGCCTAGTTTTAGTATATTATTATCATAAAGTTGGCCTCACTCAGGGCCTATGCCGCCCCCATAGATATAATAGCGGGCCCTCATCACTGCTACCGTTAACTACATACATAACATTTGTTTCTCTCGTGAGATTGGGTGTAATTTGTGGTTGTCTATGTATGTGTCCATGGCAGCCGCGACTCAGGGTTTCCCTAGTGCAGGGTTATGTTGAGTGAGTGCGTTAGAAAAAAAAACTGATTACTACTAATTATAGTTTGGAGCCAAGGCCAACATTAATGAGCGGAAGGACTTTCCTGGCTCTGGCAGTTTTTATGTCCTCTGGCTGTGGCCTGTGTATTACTAGTATGGAACTTCGTACGTCCATGAGTGGCCAGCACTGAGTGAGGAGATTTAGAGGAGTTTTATCTGCCTCGTGGCAGAATCTACACTCTCCATTTTCTCTCTGCCCAATATTTGACATGTGTTTGTTCAAGTTATAATGGCCTATTAAGGCTCTAATCAGCATTCATCATGGTGCCATTGTTGTCCAGTGACAGAGTTTAGTGTTTGGCACATTGAGCAGCTACCAGGGCATTTGAATGCTCAAGACCCTAGCTCTGTAGTCACACGTCTCGGGAGACGTGTGTGCTCTCGTTCAGCAGAGAGAGCTTTGCCAAACTATGTTATACCCATAAAGGTTTCGTGATCAATAAAGACCTCTCTAGGTCCAGCTTTTGTCAGTTCATCCGATGTTAAACTGACCTGGAACCCAACTCAGGGCCACTTTATTCCTTTCCCCAGTTTTAGTACAACTATTGAAGTTAGTCTTTTGGAATTACTTGATACATAAAATTTATGTTTCAGGGTGTAATGATAGCAGAAGCTGCTAGTATATGCAAGAAGTGTATATCACCAAAACCACCACGGACTCATCATTGTTCTGTTTGTGATCGCTGTGTCCTCGGTATGGACCACCACTGTCCGTGGCTCAACAACTGTGTTGGTTATTTCAACGCTCGGTACTTCTACTTGTATATGGTCTTTATGGTTGCTGGCGTCGTCTTTGTTATAATAGCAGGAATTGATATCGGATATCAGGTGCTTTGGATTAACGATACAGGTAAACATCTTTATAATTATAAATCTAATTAAAAAATAAGACAATGAATTTTTTTCATAAGTTGCGTCTAAAACATAAGAAAACTGTGTCTATCTTATCGTACGTAGTCAATTCAGAGCATTCAGAGGGTCTACTGTCGTTCTCCGTCCGACATCCGTCCGAAACAATTATTGTCAAATAAGTAACACACAAACAACACAACAAAAACAATGTCAAGTACGAAGCTTCATTCGCTTCATGCGTCTTTTGATTTGGTCGGGTATTACTTATTTGACAGTAATTGTTTCGGGTGGGATGTTGGGCGGAGAACGAGAGTACGGGGCCTGGACCCCGATTCAGAACAATTCGATATTTTAACCGAATCGTTCGATTGGATATCGTTCTCGAATCGAATGGCTCTTTCCGAGCTATTCAGAACATTCGATTCGGCTACGACATCGTTATTTAACGGCGTTTACGGAGTTGGTCGGTGAAATAGATTATAAGAAAAATGAAAACCCTTTTACATTTTTAAGACTTTAAATGCCTAAAATATAAAATGAAATGAAAATATAAAAATAGAAAATCAAATGCATTAGACTTGCATTAAAATAAATTAATAAAATTTAACAAAATCCAGACTTTATTCAAAAGATAAAAGATTTCCATATTGCAATTTTGCTTTGTAAATATTGGACGTTCATTCGATGACTGTGTTCTGAATGACGTTTGCCGGTCGAGAAGTTCGAGTAATCATACGGGTGTTACGTCATTTCGGTTCGGTTTCGAATGGGACAGTTTGACGTTCGATTAGGGTGTTGTGAATAAAAATGAAAAGAAATCGTACGACATCAAATTGAATCGGTCGACAACTGAGTCCTACAGGTACGGTGCGTCAGAACTGTATAGTAATTCAAAATAGTTAATATCTTCATATCATTCAAAGTTTGAAATTGCAATGTGGAAAAGTAAAACTACACTTATGCAAAAATTTTTTTTTTTTTAATATTGTATTAATGCAACTTGATGCAATATAACAGGCAATAAATGTTTACAGGTTTTATTTAAGACGAAGTGTTGTACCCATTGACCTACCAACAAATGGACATCGGGTCTAATACAAAAACCACGAAAAAAATGTCCGAGGTTAACCTATACAAACGTAGTGACATATAACGAAATATAAAAAACTAAAACATTTAATTTAAATTGTAACGTCATTGCAGTACTGCCTAAATTTGCTTACAACAATTTAAGAGCCCAAAAACACCATATTCAGCTTCTACTGGAAACTTAACAAAATGCACCATATTTAGCTTCGACTGAAAATTACTTGAACACGAGATGAATGGAATAGCCTTTCACGTAAATATTAATTAATTTTTTTATATATATTATTATGTCGAATTTTGTACAAATTCGCTCAAAGGTATAATAAAGAGTTGGGCAGATACATACATACAAATATTACTACAAATGTGAAAATAAGCGTGTACTATAAGAAATGTACCGATATTCTAACTAAACGTAAACTCAAGTATCCGTAATTCCGATTTACAACAAAACCGTTACGCTTTCGAGTAATTTTGATGCTTTTTACATAGACAAAATTAGCTTTTGTTTTGTAATCTTCGTAAAAACACATTATGAAAATTCGAGCAGAAGTCAGAAATAACATTTCGCGCAAATGTATTTTCTGACTTCTGATAGGCAATCCCAAAAATATTTTGTTATTGCTAACGTTTAATAAAAAAATCATTTTAAAAATAGGATTAAAATCAAAGGAACTCTACAGTTTCTTTGTTCTAAATATTTCAATCGCTTGTGGTTCGAACAATTGAAAATGACCAATAAGTTTATATAAGCTTCTCGAAACTGACGTAATGTGTCTCTTTCCATCTTTTGCGCATGCAGTGAATAGAAAAAGGACAGTTAGCTATTTCATTATTTCTTGCTTTTTTAATTTATATTTACGATTCAGTTATATATAAATTAAATACTATAAAACTGTACAAAATAACACTTTTAAATGACAACTATGATAACACAATATATTGGTTTAGTGAAAATATGATACAAAATCCTGTTTTCACACTTTACTGCAGTAATTTTTACAACTTATTATTTGTACTGCATATATTGGTACTGCATGATTGACAACCGCGTTGTCACTCGAACAAACGAACACTATTGCGCGATTGTCGCTCTGTATGTGATTTTAACGCCCTACAGGTGCGGATACTTTTTAGCGCGAACCCGACGTCCATTTATTGGTAGGTTCAATGGTAGTACCATAAAGATTAAATGAAGTAATTGTTTTAGGTGGTATCATTCCCAACAATGATCCTGACTTAATTGGTCATCCAGTTCGCGTGAATCAAACTGGAGCTCTTGTACCAGTTAAAGTAATTGCAGAGTATGATGATTCTGTCAATTTCCCCCGAGAACACCACCTACCTATACCTCCTATAACTGAGGCTCAACGAATCTGCGCACATCCGTGGAAAAGAAAAGCAGTTATCTTTATGGCAATCACCTGCGTCTCGGTGTGTATCGCTCTAGGTAGCCTAACAGTAATGCACGGCATACATATTTCTAGAGGAGAAACCAGCGTAGAATCCCACATAAACGCTTCAATGAGTAAACTGTACCCAACTTACAAAAACCCCTATAATTTCGGCAGAAGCAAAAACTGGAAGTTATTCCTCGGATTAACTCAAGGCAGAACTTTTGTTAGACATATTTTGTTTCCCTCTAGGCACAAGCCAGTGGGTAGTGGGCTCACATTCCATACTGTTAATAATGTGCTTGGGGACTGGCCATAAATATAACTTAACTTGCCTGTGCGATAGGAGTCAATTTTCTTTCCCTGCCGTGATGGCAGGTTGCTTGCATTGAGAGAGTAGTCCAGACAGGTCGCGCGGCCGCTTTACTCATTTCATAGTTTGATGTTCTTTCAAATAATATGGTTGATGTAACTTTTAATTCAATTTTATCCATAGTATTGAAAATTTAATATAAAGTTCCATTTACTTGAAAATTGCGAACTTTTCGGCCCGAGTAATATTTTAATATGTAATTTAAAAGTGACATAGATTTATTTCTAGATCAAGTCTACTGAAAGTTTTTGAATTTGACAAGTTAATCAAATATAGCATGTGTGAAGCGCACTCGTAGGGCTATTATTTTCAAAGAATTCTACAAATTCCTTATTTATTTCCGTAGTTTTGCCTTGTATTGATGACGAGTGTCATACTTAATTTCGACAATATTTCTATTCGACAGTACTTCGACTACACATTAATTTGACGGAACACTACTACGACAAAACACATGTTCGACAGGTCATAGTCCGACAGAATGTTGCTTCGACAATACAAACATTCGATAGGTCATTACACCGACAGAAAACTACTTTGACAAATTACTGCTTAACTAGTTATTAATTGTTTCTGAGACATATTTATGTATATGAGATATTCCGCTCAAGAATGAAGTGGTCCATAAGTAGTCTCAGTACAGCAAAATATTTATATTAAATATTTCATGGTCGGTTGGAATAGTGACTTGTCGAATACACGTCGCACTGCTATTTATTACAATAGTGTTATAACTCAAAATATGTGAAATTCAATATTATACCATTGGTAAACGTAAAATTTGATTATCTACACGTCAATAAAACTGTCTTTAGAATATTGTAAAAAACAACTTAAAGATATCTACTTAACTAATTAACTCAAAATGAGACACGCTTCATGTGAGCTTTTTCTGGCCAAATAGTCCCTAATTCAAAAATATGAAATAATTTTTCTCTTTTATTTTCTAATATGTATATTTGACAAGTAGGAAATAACCTATACATAAAATTTATACAGATCTTTAACGGGAAGCGAGTAATTCGTTTTTCTTCGATTCTGAGAAAATACACTTTTTGAGTTAATACACTATTGTATTAACAGTGCGACGTGTTGTCGAAGTACTTTTCTGTCGGTGTAGTAACCTATCGAATGTTTGTATTATCGAAGCAGTGTTCTGTCGAACTAGTAACCTGTAGAACATTTGTTTTGTCGAAGTAGTGTTACGTCGGATTAATGTGTAGTGTAGTAGAGGTGCTGTCGAATCGAAACAGCGTTTGTCGAAATTAAGTACGAGACTCATTGAAGACCGATGAATGCATTTACGTAATAACGCATTTGTAGATAATAAAAATATACATAGGACAATTTAATAATGACTATTCCATTTGGGTATAGTGCTCGTCGTCAACTAAATTTAAAAACCTCGTAACTCCGTTTTTGGGCGAAGTCCCTTTTTTATTCTTCAAGCCCAATATCGGGCAATTAACCTTAAAATATAATTGTAGACCTACTTTTGGTTATAAAATGAAGGTATAGTCGTAAATTGTTATATAAATTATTTCTAGTAATTCTGTTTTTTGTGCCCACTCAAAAGTTAACGTTAATGGAGGTTAACGATTTTTACGAATTTAGCCGACGTCATGTTGCATTTGTCATAATTTTGTAATGCGTTTATAAATTAAAAATTATGTTTTTCTGCTTTGGCAGCCCGTTGAGGGTATTGTGCCTGTAGTTTATTTTTAAAGCACTGAAGGTGCTTTGGAGCTAGTAATTAAAATTAAAATGTATGTACCTACGAAATTATGTACCTATTTTAAAAATTAATTTCTAGTATAAGTGTAAACGTCTAGTCTCTAATATATTATAAGATTATGGTTTAAAATAAAACAATCGGAGATTTTAATGACTACATTTTTTATTTCATATTTACACACGTTAAAATCTATTAGTAGGTATATATATAAAGTAATCTAACAGGTACACTGTTAACAACTGCATCCTTATTTTATATTGCACCATTTGACTAGAATTAAATGTTAAAGAACATAGGCACATACTATCCGTTTTCAAATCGTTCTCAGAAATCAATATAATTAGAACGTGTGTACTTGTGTGAACTTCCTACAGAAGAGCAGAGAACTAAAATATGTACTTAATAGAAAATACATTTACTAAAAAAAGATTACCAACTCCATTGCTTTTCAAGTTTCTATTTATCAAAATAAAATTTTGATAATATATATTAGAGATGTAATATGGTGATTGGTTGGATGCCGTTTTCCTGGCGAATACCAAGGCCTGATGGCCGGATATAGGCCAACGGATGTTTATCCCATTACTACGAAGTTGTAGAAGAAGCTGACAGAGCTCCACCGAAAATCCTGTTAGAATAAATTAAAATGTTTTGTGATGTATCATCCAGTGCAAGTTACTATGAATACTAGAAGTGACGACACTGGACCAACCACCTAGCCTTAGCCACTAGCCACCTAGAGCTTTAAATCATAAAGGTCTGAGGGGTGTGTAATGTTAAGCAGTAGGCACCCAAATTTACCGAAGCTTGCGAGAGAGTACCTATCCACTCTTGGCTTCTAAAAGCGTTTATTGCGAAATATTTTTTGAAGCCGTTTATGAAAATAAACGAAATTGCCTCTTAACGGAGAGACGCTAGTCTTCATCTCTCTAATCAAAACATTTGGCGTATATAATCTGAATATTTTGGTCAGTTTCAAACACACTAAAATTAGGCCGGATGGTCGGAAAGGCAGAATATTGATTAGTTATCGAATATCCGTTTCATCTCTAATATATATCATGATAACGCATTTTTTTTCGAGGATTTTGAGGTAGTGATGTATCGTTGACATTGATGTTATATACAATATATTACCTACTTATTAATTTCTTATAGTTTCCCATTAATAACATTAAGTAAACACACAATTTTTGTACAACGAATAACTTCAGAAGACACGTTATAGGAATATCAAAGACAGAGAATCTGTATGTATTTAGTACACAGTACCGCACGGCCACATTCTTGGGACTGATTTTACCGACTGATTAGATTCAATTAACAAATATTTAATTACAAAACATTTTTTATTTCTTGGCGGCACTGTAGGTACCTGTAGCCTTACCCCTATCTACTCAGCTGATGGATAGGGATTAGTTCGGAGAACTAGTAGAGGAATTTCAGAGACACTGGCGAGCGTGCCGACACTCAGCTACCAAAATGGAAATTCGGTAGTTGACTTTAAACTCAACGGCTTAGCGGTGTTTACTGCTAGGTAGTTGTGCAATTCACAACGAGAGGAAAGCGAGCCAACAGCTCCGGCACCTATTAAGACAATAGGGGAGGTGGGTGCTGTACATGTACTGGGTTGCGCTATCCCAAGCCACTAGTCTTTTGAGAACCGGATGAAGTCCACGTCAACGGGCTGACCTGACTGTTAAGGTCCCCGCGCAGGCTTGTTTGCACAGGTTGCCCTTCCCGTATAACCAAAAGGTTCGGTAGGAAGGGGCACTATAATATATAAGCTTTTTCATTCAATAACAAATTTGAAAAACATGAATTTTAAAACATTGTTTTTAGGTAAACAACTGGTTCTTAGTTTTGAAGGAAATATCTTGATGTCGATGACACCTAGTCGTCGTCGGAGAACGATTACATAACTCATCCAAGTGATATTCGCATTTTATATTAGACCACGATAGGGGACTGTGATCTTAGTAATCTTCGTAAACTTTAAACACATAGTTACTAAAAGTTTACGAAGTAGTTTACTTGTAGGTACTTGGGGTAAGCCCAATTGGGGGATTCAATTGTGCATGTAGTGAAGATTGTCGGAACTGAGGGCAAGCGAGTTGAGGACGCTACGTCTTTGGGGATTCACGCCCAGGTTCTCCCAGTTGATCCAAGATAGACGCGCAGTCAAATCTATAAAGCAACATTGTAATAAATATATCTTATCTTGACATCGCATTAAACAAATAAATTTGTTTTCGACGACTTACAAAAATTCGCTCAAAAGTTTTAGACATCCAGTACAAAAAAAGTATCAATTAGACCCATATTAGACCCTGTGAATTGCTACGTGAATTAAACGTGAATTTCCAATAGTGGAAGAACAGTAGGTGTTTGTTTTAATAACAGGAACACCATTATGTCTATCTGTCACAGTCCATTTACTCTGGTAGATTTATTAAAGCAAAAAGACGTAAAAACGAAAAACGTTACCTACACGTAGTTATTACATATTCTACCTCTGTCATGTCCATATCTGTCATGAGCGTATCTTACACGTTATTCGAAGATTTTTTATCATGAAACTAGATAACATTAATTGCACACAAGGTACACATGTAGGGTATTACGTAGACGTTGGTAGAAATCTTACCACTTGTATTCCAATGAGCTCGATCCGCTTTTATTTCGCCTCGAAGACATTTCTCCACGTAAGTTAGCGGGTCGTAATCGGCGTCCAAAACCTATAAACACATCGCTCATAAAGTTGATCTAAAACATTGCTATGTCTAATTACTGCGGTACGGTAATGTACACTTTTCAGTTATTCTTTGAGTTTTATTTCCTTCTTAAACTTAATGTTTTTTAAAGTTTTTTTTCCCCTGTACAACTTCAACCTTTGCAAACTTAAACCTTTCTAAAAAAAATAATATAACTATCTATTTATGGTGTACACCTTTTAACGGTGAGCGGTGAACAGTTTGAATATATTTAGGAGCCTTTAGCATTATAAATAGGGTTTTATTAATGTCCCTTTGAACAAACGATGATTATGTAGGTTATATATTTGTAATTCCGATAAATCTATCCATCTATACATATCTATTCTACCACAAATCTTAATTGTGTTATTTTAGCAGGTGTTACTGAGAATTTCGTAGAATTGTTCACCAATTGATAGCTACGAACATTTCACAGTCGCTACTGGTCAAGGCCATCGCCTCGACCCACAAATATGAGATATTCGTACTTCTCTGAGTAGAGCGATGTACGCGATGGCTAAACGCAATGTGTCGATCTTGCTGAGCCTTTTCTCGTACGGAAATGTCGGCACGTGGACTCGCAGCTCGTCGAACGCCGAGTTTATACTGCTAAAATCACAATGTCATACACAATTTAGCTTCCTTGTTTTAGTGGGAGAGCTCTAAGTACACTACATAATCAACAGCAGCAGTTTAAATCATCTGACTGTAGTGAGATACAATAATACAACAATAGTATACTGGATTAAACATATTGCAAGTTGGACCATTGTTGTCGGACTTAAGTATATCCGGGTTAACCACAAGCAAACGTACGCAATTGTCTAGGGAACCCCTTCTCCCATTTTACAAAGGTTAATGCAAAAAGAAAAAAATATTAGAAACTACTTCATTATCTACAAATAATTTTATTCAAATAATCATTTTAAGTACCTCATCATTCATCATTGTAAGTACCTCATTTGAGTGTCACCCACAGAAATTTGTGTCACCATAATCAGTTGAATAAGGCACGCTATTGTTTTTGCATTTAGCCGAGTGATGCATTGCAATACTTTTTTTATCGAAACGTAAAATAAAGTCTAGCGTTCTGTCAAATGAATTGTTTTACTCTCAGTGGCGTAGCGTAAGCGCAATGGGGGCGGCGACGGCGAGCGCGGACGGGCAACCAGTGAAGTTTTTTTTTACTCAAAATTAGAGAATAAATACCACTATTTGAGAAAAGGATGTTATTATTCTGAATAACAGAAAGGTGGCGACGGCAGGCGAACAAAACACGGTCGAACCGAGCCTGCCCGAAAGAAGTATTTTTGTTATAGCGAAAATAGAGGGCTAAAATAAACGCTACGCCACTGCTTATTATGTTCTGAGACTATATACTTAACATTAGATAAATAAACATGCAATGAAGGAATGTTCGGATTCGTCGTAGTTGAACGTAATTTAGTTTAAAATGTACAAAGAAAATAACATTTCATCTGCTTAAAGGTAAAACTACAGGGTGACATTTTCCACAAAAAATCTCTAAATTGCATTACATACCTGTTGTATGAAAATCACCATTTTTCTGCAGATAAAACTTATTAACTTTATAGCTTTTTGTTCTTGAGTTTCACGTGTCTGCACGTGATTAAGATAGCGATTTTCTTAACATAGCTAAGTAAATAAAATGTCACTTATGTGGACTTATCTTATTTAATACAACAAATTCAGTCGATTTGACTCCATTTCATGTGATCATAATACTGAGTATAATTTGCTTTATATCCGTTTTTTTTTTAATTTAAATGCTGATATTTTTGTGATAACTTTAGAAAGTACCTACTTATATACCTAAGTAAATATACTTCCATAGGCGATGAGAGACGGTATAAACCATAGATCGTTTTTTTCATGGAAAGACGAGATAGCATTGATATTACAATATACAACAACAACATAATAATCTAAATGCTACGCCTACAATAAGTAAGTGGGGTACCCATTGGGGCCGGACCTCAGCATGCGGCGGCGCTCGCGTACGTTGGCAGCAGCGCGCTGCACGCGGTACGGCGAACCCCCGCATTGGAACTCCGGCTCCGAAGACGCCTCCAGTAGGGCTTCTGTTCAAACCAAGCAATTGAATTTACAATAAAATGTTGTTATTATACCCGTGTATGAAGAATGTTACCAGAGTAAAGTACTTAAGTATTTGAATCAAGGTTCAATTCTAGATCCATTTTTATTTTTAGTTTGGCTAATATTAATGATTAACCCTTAGCCTCGTGGAGGGTATAGAACACACACACATTTTGTATAATAATAATAATAATAATAATAATAATAATAATAATAATAATAATAATAAAATTACATACTTAATAGATATTGCAGTTCCTAACACACATAACATACAGAAGACCATAACTGAAAAAATTAGTAAATACGCAGAGCTCAAAGATGAATTAGTTGGAATTTGGCGACAGGAAAAAGTATATGTTATCCCAATTGTTCTCTCTACAACAGGCGTTATTCCAAACCATCTTCTTCATAGTCTTAAATTATTAGGTTTTAAAGAAAACCTCTACATAACATTACAAAAAGCCGTAATTTTGAATACTTGTAGGATTGTGAGAAAGTTCATGCAGATGGAAGAGAACGAAGTGGGTCCTTAGTACACTCTCACCATATACATACAAGCCCTACAGCATTTACTTGATTTCGGTCCGTAGATGCTGTTAAAACCAGTCAACAGGCTGAGAGGGAAAAACATCTACAATAATAATAATAATAATAATAATAATAATAATAATAGTTTCACGTGTCTGCACGTGATTAAGATAGTGATTTTCTTAACATAGCTAAGTAAATAAAATGTCACTTATGTGGACTTATCTTATTTAATACAACAAATTCAGTCTTGGGAGAGGCCAGAGAGTTTAAAATAAATATAATAATAATAATAATAATAATTTTATTCTCAGACAACGTGATCCATAATATTTGTTAATAAAAAGTACTTAAGCTAGTGTTAGTTTAAACATAAAAATAAAGACAATACTTAATAATAATTAAATAATAATATGTTTAATAGGCGGGAGGATAACTGCCCAGCCAATGTTAGAGCAGTGAATCGCTAGCGGTGTGCAAACGCATCCACCGCCACAACATTGGGGACTCCCACCTATCTGTCAATGTGTTTAGGATGCTGTTTGTGCTGCCACGCATGCGACTGAGTAGCGACGCACTTCGCTTTCGTATGATAGCGTAAAAATCGTCTACACGTTTATCAGCGAACATGGTTGATGCGCTACAGAAACGTGGCAGTCGGAACAGCATCCTGAACGTATTGTTATACTGAACGCGCAGTGCACCGTATGTCCGCTGCGTATAGTTGACCCACAGGCTGCACGTGTAAAAGGACTGGCAATAAGCTTTAAAAAGTGTTACCTTCACTTGATCTGTACATCGTGCAAACCTGCGCGCCAACATATTACAACGGACAGCCAATGCCCTGCGCTCCCTCTCTATATCTGCATTATCACACAGATCCTCGGCGACCCAGTGGCCCAGATACTTAAACTGCCTTGATTGCTTTAGAGGAGTTCCACATAGAGTAATTGGAGGCACGGTCATATATGTTTTGGTGCCGGCCTTGAATACCATACACTCACTCGTAAGTGCATTATATCTGAACCCGTGTGCCGCCGCATAAGATTCACATATACTTATCAGCTTACGCAGAGCACCAACTGATGGGCATAAAAGTACCATGCCATTAGCGTAACATTATGTTATTGACACAGACCCCGTCAATATGGCAACCAAAGCTGCTGAGCTCACCCATCAGCCCGTTCATGTACAAATTGAAGAGCCGCGGCGAACTCAACCCCCGCTGCCGAACTCCGCACTCCAATTTGTACACGTCCGACTGAGCATCTGCCCATCTTACTCTATTCCTTTGATGGCTGTACCAATATTTAAATATTGCTGTTAACTCATGTGGTGAATTAGTCTCATACTCTAGCTTGTGCCACAGAGTATTGTATGATACTAGGTCAAATGCCTTCGACAAGTCCAGGTAACAGGCATATACTGGTGTTTTACGGGAAGTATAGTACTGGACAGTCTGCTTGAGACACAGGATAGCGCTCTCTGTGGACAACCCGGGCCGAAAACCGAATTGAGCAAGTTGATTACTTTATCCAGGTGTTTGTCAAGCAGTCCATCCAATACCTTTGCTATCACAGTAGCCAAGGATATCGGCCTGTAGTTGGATAAGTCAGAAGCATCGCCAGTTTTATTCTTTATCACTGGTACAACCATTGTGTACATTAAATCATCAGGTAGATAACCATGACTCAAACAAAGGTTGAAAAACAACGCCAAAACCCTCGGTAAGTGCACACCAGCGTACCTCAGGTGCTCGATGCTGAGGCCGTCGTGACCTGGAGACTTTCCTCTCTCCATTTTGTTTATTATGGAATGCACTTCCTTGGGTGAGAATCTAATACATAATACATCCGAACTAGACCCCGCAACGGGCACCCGCAGCACAGGCACGAGTGGCGAGTTTATCCTGAAATAGCGCTGAAACGCGTTCGCTATCTCAGCGGAATCGTGCACGCCAGTGACACTCACAGGAAGACTCGGTTTAGGATTTAATTTGTTTGTGTTTTTCCAAAATTTACCGAAATTCTTACATGAGCGATAATTTGCAATAATGTACATTTTTATTTGTTCTGAATTTTTCTGACAGTATTTAAGTTTGTCTTTAAAAAGTTTCCTAGATTGATACGAGGGTCATTTGAAAAGTTCTTAGCCTGACATAGTTAGGGTCATCGATTTTTTTCATAACTACCTTCATTTTGTAGCTTAATTATTCAGTAACAAGTATGCACAGTTTAGTTAAGTCACAATTATTCGTTGCTCGTTAACACGTAATACTGTAAGTCAAGTCAGAGCTATTTTTGAAAATGGATAAAATTGAACATCGTGCAGTGATCAAATACTTGTATTTGAAAGGTTTGACTCCAAAAGCTATACATGAAGACATGTCTGCTACTTTGGGTGAGTCTGCTCCTTCGTATGCGACTATAAAAAACTGGGTGGCAGAGTTCAAACGTGGTCGAGAGACCATTCAAGATGAGCCCCGTAGTGGCCGGCCTTCAACTGCTTCCACCGATGAAAACAAAGAAAAAATCTGTGATTTAATTTTATCTGATCGAAGATTGACTGTCGAGGAGATAGCTAAGACTATAGGCATCTCTTCTGAGCGAACACACCATATAATTACTGCTGACCTTGGATTTTCTAAGGTGTCTGCGCGGTGGGTACCGCGGCTGCTTTCAGTGGAACAAAAACGCAACCGACTCACAACTTCCCGCGACTGTTTGGAGTTATATGAAGCTGACCCACTAGAATTCATTGAAAGATTTGTAACCATGGATGAAACTTGGGTTCACCACAATACACCTGAGACAAAAGAACAGTCGAAACAATGGAAAAGAGTAGGATCACCCACCCCAAAGAAGGCAAAGGTGATTTTGTCGGCCGGCAAAGTCATGGCATCGGTTTTCTGGGATGCAAAGGGTATAATTTTGGTGGATTACTTAAAAAAAGGTGAAACAATAAACTCCGATTATTATTGCAGCCTATTGCGTCGTTTGAAAGAAGAAATTAAAGAAAAACGTCCAGGTTTATTGAGGAGAAAGGTCTTGTTTCATCAGGACAACGCGCGCGTTCACACCTCTGTGCAATCCATGGCAGAAATCCATCAGTGTGGCTTTGAATTGTTACCTCATCCCCCATATTCGCCGGATTTAGCACCGTCCGACTTTTATCTATTCCCAAAGCTAAAGAAATTTTTAGGTGGTAAACATTTTCATACAAATGAAGAGGTCGTAGCCGCAGTAGATGCATATTTTGAGGAGTTGGAGGAAGATTTTTTTAAAACAGGTATCGAAGCCTTACCGGGTCGATGGAAAAAGTGTTTTGAGCTCGGGGGAGAGTATGTTGAAAAATAAAAATAAAATCAAAATCATGTGGTTTCATTAAATACGTCAGGCTAAGAACTTTTCAAATGACCCTCGTACATACGATTGTAAATATGTCCACTAGTTGGTTTACCGTACAATAACCACATTTCATAACAAAGCCGAGCCTCCCTGTGCTCACCGCTGACGTACTTGTTCCAACCAGGTATATATAATGCTTGTTCATATGCCCTCCACCCTTAGACTTCTTAAAACTACGTTCTGAAGCCTCTGTAAGTATACCTACAATATCATGATAAATAGTATCTATTAATAACTTATGGTTTTCAATGGAACAGAAATTGGATGCACATTCAGTCAATTCATTAGGTAAAATAAATTCTTTTAGCTTTAAATTACAGTATTCGAGATAATTATTTATTTGTTCATCATCTCTTTCCCTCCAAATTACTTTATTGTTAGACATTTTATAATTCAGTATTTTCGGTACAATCAAATCTATATTGCATTCAATTAATAATAGATAATGATCCGACCAATAAACATCATACAACACCGAAGCGGTCACTACAGTAAGTCGCGCGTAATTATAGTTTAAGAGATTCAGTTCTGTAATATTACTTGTATTTTATTTTCTTTTATAGTAATTATATTATTACAAGTTATAGAGGAGCGACACCTTCTGATACAAGTATTTTCGTACATAAAGGTTGTTAATATTTGAGACGAAATGATGTGTTTTTTTTATAGAACAAGACATTACAAGTATTGTTTGCTGATGATACTTCCTTATTATTTAAAGTTAAAAGGCAACAATTTTCCTATTACAATGTGAACTGTGCTAGATATATCTAAGGTGGATTAGCATTGGTTTGCAGTTAATAACCTGCTCGTCAATGAGAAAAAATAAATTGTGTATAATTTACATTACCCCAATATTAGACAAGACAGTCATAAACGTTATAATTAGTAGCGGAAAATTGAACCTTGTAGATACAGTAGTATTTTTATCTATAACTTTAGATGCTAAATTACAAAGGGGTCCAGGGATTATAAGTAAGTTAGGTCAGTTCTGCAGTGTACTCGAACTAAAAGATATGAAAACTAAATATGAAAAAAAAAGTACGGTACCCGTCAAGTTTGTAAAAAAAATATATATAAAAATTATGGTGAACGTCCCCAATGTCAAAACTCTATAACAAACAGCTATTATAGATTCATATGAAAATAAACCGCTACATTGATTTACTTGAGCTACTTTCACGGTTTAAAGACTTATTGAACATCATTTGCTTTGGGGTAATGACGCTGATATTAATAGAATCTTTGTGCTGTTACCACCGAACGGTTACCATACTGGACTGCCACGCAGAGGTCCCGGGATCGATTCCCGGACTAGGAGAAATATTTGTATGGCCTACATGTATTTATTTCGTGAGTTTAGGTGTAATTTGTTAGGTTGTCTGTGTGTGTGTCAATGGCACCAGCGATACAGGGTTTCCCTAGTGCGGGGTTATGGCGTCAATAATAGTATTTCTTTTGTGATAAACACAATACGAGAAGTAAAGTTAAACTGGCTGTTCTCGACAGTGGTCTTCACAAAGTCAAATTATTTTAAGGGGCAATGTATACGCTTCTATAACAAGATTCCGGTTGATATTCAAAAGTTGTCATTCACGACATTTAAAACTAGTAAAACCAAAACTTGATACTAAAAGTTATTAACATGAATGACAAAAGTCCATTGTAATGACCCATTTAGCTCTTGCCAGTTGCGATCCGTATGTCATATCTATTTGAAATAAATATTGGAAGTTATAAATATTGTACAATGTTTATTTACAAAGAGCAACCTAGAGTTCCTTGTTTATTCCTCTCAGGGGAATCTGTCTTGCAATGAGCAGTGGAGTTCAATCAATTTGACGATTTGAAACACAGAATCTAAATAATTTAAATTATCTGCTGACAGCATTCAGGTAATTCTGCTTAAAGCTAACAAAAGTAAGGGACAGTAGAGCGGCAAAAGGGAACACACCTGTGTGCATTTGGCGGGTGTGCTGATGAACGTAGGCGGCCAGTGGCAGCTGCAGGCGGCCCCGTGCCGCCGCGTAGACGCAAGACGGTAGCTCAGCAGCCAACGGTGGACCCTCGTCGTCGGAGCCATCGGCATATGTGAACTTCAAGCCCGCGTACTCCAACCGACGGCTTTCGCTATAACGATTCGGAGGTCAGTTCTTTTTATAATATCAAGTGACAGGACGGACAAGTCGTGCGCTTTATGTGCCTGTAATTTCACCCTTCAAAACCGGAACACAGTAATGCTGACATTACTGCTAGGCGGCAGAAATAGGTAAGGTTGCAGTACTGCCCTGGACGAAATCTTTCACAACGAGCTCTACTGCTACTAAAACTGACTTTACTGACTACATTTGAAAAAAAATCATTTTACCATGGAATAGCGCAATAATAAAAAAAAGTCACTTTAATATTAAAGCCGTTGCATACTTAATTTTCTCGATGATGCAATTCCAGGATATCTCTAAACTAAATAAAAATCCTGGTCTTCTTATTGGTGTAATATAAATCTATAAATTAATATAAAAGGTAAATCTTTTACTTGGTTTATATTTAATTCCAATCACTCTCATGTTGTTTTCAACATTCCGCAGTTATACTGCATAATATACACTATACACCTTTAATGACAGGCCTCATACATATTGTTAATGACCCAAAAACAGAGACATTAAGACAGACAGACAGAAGGACCCTCGAAAAAGGAACAAATCAATACGGGCTACCCGAATTACGAACGTAGTACCCGAAGTGTAGACCATAGGATAGGTATAGAAGTGGCATCATTTTGGCCGATGAGGAAGAACCAGGACGTTTCATGAGCTAATGTCTCGAGTCTGTTCCCAGTTTTTCTATACTTATGAATATTTTACAGAATTGAGAGTTAATTGAAACAATACATGAGCCTAATAGTAGCAGTACAGCTTCTTGTGAAAGAGATCGTCCAAGGTAGGTCTGCCACCTTACCTAATGTCAGCAGCAGTACTGTTTCCGTTTTGAAATGTAAGGGTGCTGGTGAGACTGCAGGCATGGGACTTGTCAACTTGTGTTTCAGGGTTTCGTGCACAGTGGCAATGCCCCTCAGATCTTTGCGATTTACAGCTATGAGTGGCACTGAAACTGTTATGGACAGGCGGTAGTTTACCATCAGGTGCGTGACTTGTTCGTCCCGTCACTAGATATTATAAAAAAAGCCTATCATCTTGCCGCGCCGAACGAAGATCTTCGCAGGGTCGGGATTCACCGATTTAAAGCGGCTTGTCTGGTCTGTGAAGCTAGCTTCACATGATATCAGTGTATATAAGGCAAGAAACAATCAGAAATATACTTTAGAATATGCCGTGTGAGTAAATATGTTTTTTTCGAGGGCAGATTATATTATACACGTCTATTTTACAAAAAAAAGATGCAGAAATGGTTTTTCGTTAACACAGATTTTTAGGTACCTATGCAGCGTTTGTATAGGGCTTTTCCACAGAAAACATAAAGAAAATGTATTGAAATGACAAAATCAATAATTAATATACTGCAATATTGTAGAGTCAAGAAAATATACTTAATTATAGGTACATATTATGACAAAATGTTTTTGTCAAAAGTTACGTTCGCTTATTTCGACATACTTACTCTATCTCTAACTTATGCTTAATTGAAAATTTATAGGCGCAGTAGCTTTCACGACATTTCACAATATTTTTAACAACATGATGTAGCTACGCGAGCAATTTTTTCAAGATTATTTTCTCTAAAATGCAGAGAATATTAAATTTATTTCGCCAATATTATAAACAACAAAGTTTGAATAAATGTTTACTATATACATAGTAACACTGAAACGGCTCAACAGAACAGACAAGAATTTGATGTTTAGTACCTGATAGATAATTTGCGACCTGGTTAACAAGTTCATGTGCTTTAATTATATAAAAGCAGGTGAGAACGATACAGTAGGTCACTTTTTCTATTGTAAAGTAATACCAATTTTAAAACCATTTTTTTTATATATACTCGTATTATGCTTGAAACAAACTACTTGTTAGTATCATTTACCTAAAGCTTAATTAACAGCATTGGAAATATATAAATATACAAATACATCTAGGTATAAACTTACAAATGATATCGGTATCTCATCGAAAATTATATAGCAGTACTATACGAATATATTAAAACATTGTACAATCAGGCGTTTTAAAGCGATTTCTAAACATAATATATAAATTAGGTAAAAATAGTTAGTTTAAAAATTACCTTAGCGGCGGAGATGTAGATGAATCGGCAACTTGAGTTCTGGTTGCAGACATGGTTCTTACTTTCCCGCCACTCAACTGAGGTCCGGTGAAATGAGAAAATAATTTTATACTTATTGGGGTGGCCATTTCCCCTCTAAACTTGTGTTTGTGTTAGTGAATGTTCCCTGGGAAAGGTTAGGGGAGAATATACTCTAATTTCGGTAGGTACAGCTCAGTGTAGAGCGGAGTGGAGTGCGTGCGGGGCAGTGTTGAATGTTTCCTCCAGCAGCGAGCGGGAGGCGCTTTTGGAAACAGGCACTCACTGGGCGGAGCTTAGAGAGCTTCAATGTAGACGGGAGTAACTTTGTTATACAGTATGAAAAACTGTTCTTGTTAGTTGGTATCATAGGTGATTGCGATTAGATAGCAATACATTAGGTGCCTATGTAAGTGTATGTGTACGTATATGGACCTTGCTTCTGCAGTATTTCGAATTGGAGGCTTAACAATTTTATTTAAGCAAATGTATTCATAGCGAGGTAATCTCACTTCACGTCAGTATTTCGGTATTCTCGAGCGTTAACCAATGTAGAACGTTTATAGCTGGTCGAACATAAAGACACGATCACACCAATCAATTCAAACATTCCATTTCAATTTCAGTTTACGTCTATTTGTCGAATGGTTGTGCTTGGAGATTTCGAGGGAGTGGTAAGTCGATCGATCCAGGGATCCGGCGCCCATTGGCGGCAACTGGCGACCCGCGCCTGCCGCTGACAGCTCATAAAACGCACGCCTCGCTTCAAGAGTTTTCGGCTTAGTGGTTTTCCGGCTAACAATTTAGACATAATTGTGTATGCATTTCTATTATAACAGCTGCCAAAAACATTGCACTAGACACCTGTAAATGAAGACTACAGCCGAGGTATCTTATGAAGCCGCAATGATGGCTTATCATGGATACGTCTCCCCTGTATTAGGTTGTTCGTTTATACTGTGGGGAATCCCGGTAGAAGTAAGCAGTGTTTGTACAAAAATCGCGCAATTTTGCGGATCTACAGCGGATGACACTTACAAACCTTTATTTAAATAACTTAATGTACCGCCACTCGCCTGCATTTATATAAAGATATCTGCTCACTTGTAGATAACAATCCACACTAATTTAAAAGAACGTGGTGATGTATTACAGCTACAAACTAGAGCCAAAATAATGAATCTTTTGTGCCGGCCACCTTGCCCTAAAGATATTTATAAGAACAACTCATTTAATATGACCAAACAGTTAAGGGTCAACATTTTAAAAACGCTTTGTCGGTTTGACTAATGGACCACTGTTTCTATACAGTTAGAGAATACTTACAATTTAAGACATAAAATACTAATAGGTATATTATATAGAATTCAAGACATTGTATTAAATATAACGTAACAAAAAATTGCATTGTATTTGCACCTGTATAGGTTGAATAATGTACTTTTAATATTTATACAAAGATCTTGTTAAATATATTCTAGCAATAAATGATTTTGAGTTTTGACTTGGGAATACTTATATCAAGTGAGTAAGCGACACACCTATCCCTATATTATAATAGTTGCAGTGCTACTCAGAAATTTATATCGCAAAGATCTTTGGGGCACTGCTTCTGCGAGCCCGTCACCCTGAGACGTAAGTTGACAAGTCTCATGTGCCTGTAATTTCACCAGCACCCTTATCCTTCTAAACTGAAACGCAGCAATACTCACATTACTACTAGTTGGCGGCAGAAATAGGTAAGGTGGCAGTGCGTCCTTGTACATACTCTTTCACAAGAAGCTCTTCTGCTACTGAATTAAAGCTAACAATAAAGTTAACATTTTCGCGCCAAACAATTTTAATATCATATAATATAATAAATAGGTGTCCTGGCCGAGTATCCAAGTAGCTTCTTCTGCTTATTATTTATTTAAAACCCAAAAACATTAAATCTGAAGTGAAATTACAGGGTGCATGTGCGTCACAATCAAACTGGTTCTACGCTCCAGTTTCCATATTGCTTATTATAAGCCAGTACCACACTTCTACAATGATGTCTATAAATTAGGTAGCACATCACACTTATACAAGCAAATTATTTCTGCAACAGCTATAATTTGGTGCTAATTCTCGCTGTGAAGTCGCGCTCGCGTTGGTCCTGTAATTGATTTGTCGCGGCGCGAGTCGTTGCAAATGTCGAGCGCCACGCGCCACGCGTCTGCCGCGTGCCTAGACCACGCCCCTCTGCTGCCTGGTTTCGCGTGAAATCACTTGTCGGCTTGTAATCGTGTTGTGTGTGGTCTTCGACTGATTTTTAAGAGAGCGATTTGATCGTATTATAAATACGGAAAATATTATTTACGTAATTACTAATACAAAGATCGAGCTCTTAGAAAATGTTTCTTCGATTCGGTTGGATTCGAACCAACGTCTTCCAGTAAACCGTTCCAAGTAAGACACGGAACGATTTAGTGGACCTTACGGATTCTTATTTTCGCTTGTTGCAAATTTTTATTTTTGAAAATCGTGGTGGACAGACAAATTCAAAAATAAACTTAAAACATATTTACATAATTACAGTCTTACGAATAGGTACTACTAATTGTATTCACTGCATGTTATTCTACACTTTACACTATAAACTTTTTTCCTGTAAAGTTTTTTCTATAACTTTTACAGTTTTAACTATTAAGTGCGTGTTAATAGAAAATTACGATTGCTTGATGAGTTATTTCAAAATTAACTCAACTTAACGCAAATTGAACGTCAGTTAATTTAATTTTCGCACGAAAATTTAGCATAATCAAAACTAACATTTAAAAATGCGGCTTATTAACTGGTAACGGACATTGGCGTATTTTAATTTATTTATTTGTCTGCATATGGTCTGTGGAGATTATCCGAGAGTAGTTGCACGTGTTCAGGGCGTCTTTTGTCGCAGTCGCGTGCTTCCCTTGGTCACGTGACAGTCACGCGCCACTCAAAGTGCCCGGAACATGTACTGACGCCTCCTCCAAAACTGTTTTTCTGCCTGCACTTAATTAATCCTGGACTCGACATAAACACTGTTATCGTAGCATGCAATATTATAAACTAAGTAACGTACCAGGCGCGGTGATTTGATTAGGCACGTCGTCTTGACTTTAAAATGTTATGTATAATTGTTAGTTACGTTTGCCCTCGTGCCATATTTGTCTCTCCTAAGGGTTTGACCAGTATGTTTCAAATGACAAAATAAAATGAATACCTCCTATATTATACAGGTTAGATATCTAAAACAATAACATTTTTGTAAGGACATCAATCATTTGAATGGTCTGGAAACAAGATCGGGCCTTTTGTATATGTCCCCTGCCTGTATATTTTGTGAGTCTGTTTGTTGTATTTAAGCATTTATTATACGCAATCATTAACAAGTCGTCCGCAGATCATGCTCTTCATATGGGGCTTTGCTTCTCAAACTTTGCCCTTGTCCTGTTTAAATTTTAGACGATCTCCGTAGCCCAGCAGCTTATTATCTGGGCGTTAGAAAGTAACGAACTTTTCAAAATTAGTTTTACTCTGGATGCAACTCACATTTTCATTACTTTACTGTAATGAATGAATTGGTAATTATTGAAAAAAATGTACTGTCTGGCACATAATATACCAATACGTTGAGTATGTGCGTTATTAATCGTACTATAAATCATACGATTAATAAATAAAAAAGAGGTACTTTTATATTATCTGTAGAGCAACTAGTCAGTACACACTTGAAACTACCTATAGATGCGCTGAAATTATTACTTTTAAACATTCATGGATAGTTTTCCAAAACGTAAGTAAATTAATTTATAGTGTAGGTACTACTATCTAGTCCCTTCGAAACATGGACGTTTCAATACGTTGAGGTAAATAATATATTAATACGCGATAAGTCCCGATTTTCCTAGTTTACTTAGGTACTTATTATTTATTACCTCAAACTATATGTAAGTAGCAACTCCTACTGATCTAATAATAGTAATTGTTATTATTTATTCGTGTCTTATATATATGTTTTATTTACATTTAATAGAGCGTATACTTTGTTTACAGGCAATAACTCCGTATTTGTTGCACCATTAAGTACGGTTTTTGTAGCAGTAGAGCTCCTTGTGAAAGAGTTCGTTTTGAGAAAGGGAAGTACTGCCACCTTATACCTGTTTCTGCCGTCAAGCACTAATGTTAGCATGACTGCGTTCCGGTTTCGAAGGGAAAGGGTGCTGGTGAAGTTACAGACACATGGGACTTGTCAACTTATGTCTCATGTCCGAGTGGCACTGGAACTGTTACGACCAGGCGTGTCGCTTACCAAAAGACGCACGATTTGTTCTCCCGTTACCTAGTATTATAAAAAAAGAAAGTTTTGTCATATTTCGCAAGTACGTAAAAATATTTTGTTCTTGGCTTTTCACGTTTAGTATATCAGCAACCTTGTATAAACATTTGATTTAATTTTTTGTGATGTCTGATTTAGAAAGAAGTTTTTTTAAATTTGCACCCTACTAAATCAAAACATCTTACTCGCAACCTTAACACTATAACATATTATTTATGATTGTTCTATGTACCTATACAAAAAAAACATAAATAAGTTATTAAAGTACTTTTAAAAAGTCCAATTTTTCTTCACATCTGCTTGTTTGTTTAAAAATCTTTGACAATCGCAGTGCTGTCAAACCAACCCCTCATACGGAACGAGGGTTAACCGCCGTCACACGGCGCTGGCGCATCCCAGCGACTTAGCTCCTGTGGGAACAACACACAAATTGCCCTCGACTAATTGTCTAATGCGCTCACGCCATTTAACTAAACAGATTCTGGACACTGAGAATCTTTTTGGGGCAATTGCTTGTTTGTATTGCATTAAGTAAACAAGTTTGTTTGATGTGTGTTTCGAGTACTATTTCCGAATTCTTATAAAAAATCATGTAAGTGTAGGTGCTTTTGTTAAAATACTAATGATACATCACATAAGTATTTTGAATAATTATATAGATACGTAAGTAGGTATGCATACTTAGGTTATGGCTGTATTATAGAATCGTCTTGTAAACAAAATTACAATTATTTATATCTACGGTAAAAGATAAAAGAAATAAGAAGTTCAATCACATTCCTTTGGATCCAGCTCAAATTTTATTATTTAGATATAACAAATTTTCAACCTAAGTGTAACTTACGCACGATACCATTCTTTCCTGTACTTACATCTGGCGCACGCATAAGAGTACCTTACGCCTATTGGCAAATCTTTTCACCACTATGGCAAGCATTGTACTGTATAACTTCGATATTCTGGACTCTATTTACTAAAGTAATCAATGGAAATACGTTATTTTTAATTTTTATTATTTGGGTTTAGGAAATAATTATCTTTTTACTAAATTAAATAAATATTAGGCAACATGACGTACGTTGCTCTGATCCCAAAGTAAATACCTTAAGGACTTGTGTTTTGGAAATTGGAAACATCGACGCTACCACAAAAACCCAGACGCTAGACAGAAAAGTTACTTTTTCTACCCAGCCGCATTACTTTTTCTATTCACCCCCCTAACTCTCTAACATTATAATAAAGAATCATATTTTATGATCTTTTTATCTAGATAATTGATTATTCTAATACTATATGGTTCAGAGAAGTGCCTTTAGTTTCTACGGACCCTAATCCTTCAGAAGCATCGAATGGTATTTTTATTCGTATAACCGTCTACAGTGTATTGTTTTTGGTTTAAATAAAAAAAAAACCACTTTTAAATAACAAAAACTTTATTAGTTATTATGCATATATTATATTCAACTTACAAGTAACAGTTCTTCATTCTTGTCTCGGTTTATCAGGTAGTATGATTTCCTCGACAGTGAGATCCTCCGTGCTGGACTTCAGCGCCACGTACTTGTACCGGAAGGTCATACTCGTGAAGATTAACATATCAATCGCCATTAGTCCCGCGAATAAGAAAAATTCTTTCCACTGCAGAAAGATATAAGTAAGAATTATTAATAATTTCTTGTGTTTTCTGTAATATTTTTAAGTAGTTGAATTTCAGAGTATTATTGCAGAACGTTTCATTTAAAAAAATATTATAGAAATCAATAAATCAAATCATTACTTTTGTACGCACGTCTAAAAGAAATTATATAACATTATTCTTTCAGTACGTATTGCCTAGTTGATAGCATACGAATTAATAAAGTAGGTAAATAGAGTTTTCGGTAGATTTTAAAGATTATACAAAATGAAGGTTTTTAAATTTTAATAATTACAAGTCGTCAAATCTTAACTTTAATTCTCAATTTCATGTAATCCCAAATTAATTAATTCTTAGTCTATATTGATGTTATGATATGCTTTTCTAGACAATAAATAAACAATATATTATTATTATTAGTCAATATAAACGCTTTTTAAAACTGGCAATGTTGTATCACGAACATTATTTGGTAGCTTATTCTACAATTTGGCGCTATCGCATAAATATTTTCCTAAAAGTGGGACTAGTCTTCCAAAAAAGTACTTTTATTTGGTCTTGTCTTCGTGTACGTTTCACTCTGGTAAGAGTATATTTTTCAGAGAAAAAGAATTGTTTTAAATATATTTATGCAGATAAACGTTAGTAACCTTTATTCTTTAAAATACAGCCATCTATCCGGTACAAACCCAAACCCGCAAATGATCCGAGCAAATGTTTTTTGTGCAAGCAATACATCCGGACTATCTTTGGCATTACCCTCTAACATAATGCCATATCTTATGATAGAGACATGTCCATGATAATGCATCTGGGTTATTTGTAACTTTAGATAGCCTCCACAAAGCGTATGCAAATCTATTTATTCTCATACACAAGATTTCTATGCATTTTACCCCTATTACATTGCTGTTTACACGAATTCCTAAAAATTTAATCAACGGTTGTCATAAACATACCTGAGCATTCAAAATATGTCCTTCAACGACAAGAATAACGACCAAGTTACCAAAGGCGACAGTGAGCAGCCACATTGCCTGCAGCACAGACTTCATAGAGGCAGGTGCTTGCGTGAACGAGAACTCTAAGCCGGTGACGGAGAACATAACTTCACCCAACGTGATAATTATATACTGTGGCACCAGCCAAAGGATGTGTACTGAATTCTCCGGCGTTATCATTACTGGGTTTGCCCACTGAAATGTCATTTCAAAGTAATTTCCATCGTGCACTTCCAAATTACACACTAACAACACTGCATTGTGTTATATTGTTAATACCACAGCTATGCAAACCAATCGAAAGAAGTCTTAGGTAGTCATCATACCTATCGACGCGTAATCGGCTTGAGCCGTGTTTTGCCATTTGTCGCATTAAGCCGATTGGCTGTCGACACCACTTTTCAGCTTAAAGACGTCTCCCTTTTGCTGGGCACAGACCTCCCTAAAAGATTGCCACAATGATATATCGTATGTAGGTAACCAGCAAGATTAGCTGACTAATGAAACTAATGTTTTTTCAGTTATTCTGCGAAGCACGTGGACTCAAGAAGGGAGCTGTCAGTGCAGTTCGAAACTGATCGGCGCCGTTCGGACATCTTCTGTCTCCTGACGCAATAGGAACCGTTTGGACGTCTTCGGGAGTGTTCAATCGTCGGCGGCGCCGCCGTACGACTCGATCGAAGGTTCGTTGGAAATGAATGGACATAAAGCTTTTGAAGATAAGTGTAGTGACTCTAATAGATAGAATAAATACATACGTATGCTCTTGTAGAATCTTCATATACGTTTATTGCGAACACTGCGCCGGCCTCGAAGTTATAATCACTTATGACCCGTGTTTTATCCACCCAGATATCATACTTTCCTTTTTGTATTTGCTTTTGTTCCATGTCGTTGCTTCTTATACTTAGTCTGGTCACATTTTTATTCGCATCATCTACTCTTATCGTCGCGACACTATTTAAATTCGATAAGAATCTGAAAAAAATATGTATTTCATTTACATGAGTTAGTAAACACTTGACAGTTGAGTGAACTTAATTTATCAAGAGGCGATAATGAAACTCGGTTATTTTCTTCTCTTCTAGCGCACCTACATGCTGTACAAGCAAAGCATGTATTATCGATTAATGTTGATTATTGCGTCTTGCGTACAAATTCAAACAGTGCAAGTGAATGTGAAACAGGGAACGGTGTTTGGGACAACAGAAGCGACAGTATTTGAGCGGCGTCTGTACTATGCATTTTATGGCGTGCCATACGCACGACCTCCAGTCAGGGCGTTGAGATTCAAAGATCCCGAACCAATAAAAAATTGGAAGCGCCACCTTGACGCAACAAAACAATACCGTGGCACGTGCGCACAGCCACACATTGTTCACAAGCATGGCATCTTCGGCGTCGAAGATTGCCTTTATTTGAATATTTACACTCCACATCTCCCCAAATCAGAAAATGAAGTATTGAAACCAGTTGCAGTTTGGATCCACGGCTATGCTTTTACTTCAACTTTTAGTCACATACACGGCCCCGATTTTTTCATAGAACATGATGTAATTGTCGTTACTTTAACACACAGAATAAATGTATTTGGCTTCATGAACGTCAAAGAAAATAACACGAATATGGGCTTGAAAGACATCGCCGTAGGATTAAAATGGATTAAAAGTAATATCGGACAATTTGGCGGTGACAAAAAAAAAATCACAGTGATAGGAACAGGTTCAGGGGCTACTTTTCTTTCTTTGCTTTTAATGTCCAAATATAGGAAACTATTTACAAAAATGATACTGCAGAGTGGTGGAGCTTTCTCACCCTCAATATTTCAAGGAGATGCAGAATTCGAGAAATTACGTTTCGAAGAAGAACTCAAGAAAATTACAATAAAGGATGTAATGAAAGCCACCACTAAAGATATAGTCGCAGCATCACAAAAAGTGTACAAAAATATAGATGTGATAAATTTTCAAAAGCCGTTAGTCCCATTTTCACCGATCGTTGAAACAAAATCTAAAACGTCGATAATCTCAAAGAGCCCAGAGATTTTCTTTTCTAATAAAAACAATTTAAACTTAAACATATCGATTATGATCGGTTTTAATAGTCAAGAAAGCATATCAGAAATTATACCATTTCTTCGCAACCCATTCTATTTGAAATCGTTTTCAAATTATTTTAAATTTATGATTCCGTTTCGAAGCGATTGTAGTTACAATTATACTACAAGCCAATACCGCAAAATTGGGGCACAAATAAAGAATAAATACTTTGCTGACGGTATTAATGAGAAATCCATAGAAAAATTTATGAAATATTCGTCTGACTTGCATAAGTATCCTGTCTATAAATTCATTAGATCCTATTTATCTAATCTTCGTAATAAAATGTTTGTGTATAAATTTAACTACGTGGGCAAATTTAACGCAATGAAGGCTACATCTGTAGCTGGAGCTACCTTTGCGGTAAAAGGTGCCGCAAGTGGGGATGAAATATGTTATTTATTTAACTGTGAACCGCTTTGGGACAATTATGTAAATATTAGTAAAACCTTGTACGATCAAGACAGAATATTTATAAAAGAACTCACAGGATTATGGACTAATTTTGTAAAGTCTGGTGATCCCACGCCACCATCGCAAACCAACAACTACATTTGGCTGCCAATGACCCAGAAGGATGATAATGTTCTGCTCATTAGTAAGACGAGAACAAGGATCACTAGGTCTAATTTGGAGAGTAAGATGCTCTCGTTTTGGAATGAAATTTATAAAACGTATTATAAGGACTGTAAAGAAGACCTTCATGAAGAACTTTAGCATTATAATAATATGGTGATGTCGTCGATATTGTTACCATGAATTGTTCAACGTAAACGATTTGTTCAAAAGTACCGATCTAAAAATTTTCTACAGTTCGTTTGGAACTAATATCATTGCATACAATCAAACTAGTATTTTACTACTATTATTGAAATTTTGTTTAATTTACTCACCTTATTTTAACGCCGTTCATAGCTTTGTCATTATCATCCACAAAGCTAATTAAATCGTTACTGCTAATGAACAACGAGGTATAGCCCTTTTCCACAACATGGAAATTTCCAGAGTACACAATTTTCTCACATGCGGTGCCTGTGTCTCCTTTGATATTGTACGGGATTTCTACAGAATTCTTCACTGGGATGTCTAAGTTTTCGTACACAGAAAGAGGAGGAATAGTTGTCATATGAATTTCTTTGGTGAGACCATCGGATATGTTTAATTTAAAATTACAATTGAATCCATTGTAAACTCTCAATTGGCCCAATCCTTCTGAGAGCGGTGTACCGTACGTCGGCTGGAATGTATAACAATCTTCAATTATTACAAGCCTTCAACAAGCACCCGCAGTCTCCCACAAAAACCATGTTGATATCTCAGTAATAAACATTGCGTGTGTTATACTAGTGACAAAGATTTTTGTGGAACGAAAATAAAACCATTTTATTTAAAATATGACGTGATAACTCAGTATAAATTTTAGCAACGTACCAACAAGTTCAGTTCTACTACGCCGGAGATGACGAAAGCAGTGGCGGCAAGGAAGCCACCCATGATCATTTTATGTAACGGCCTTCTTATTATTTTGCACCATTCCAGGAATGGATAAATAGCCTGAAAAATAGAAAACAGGTAAAACTTGTTTTTGGGGAGGCAATTGTTTCTGCTCATGTGGTCAGCGAGACTTTACAGTACCCGTATATTGATTTGAGTGATTATTTCGTTACAGAACTAGCTTTTTGTAATTCTTAAACATTTCTTTGTTTATTTAAGTCAACAAAATCACCAGTTTATGTTTGGGTATTGTAACGAGAAATAACAAATAGGAATATAAGCAACAAAATACCTCTACATACACACACCTTATGTATAAGCTCAGCTACTAAAGTTACCAATAAAAGATTATAATATAGAATTGTGGACTTACGATTTGACAGAGAGGTATGAAGATTAGAATGAGCAACGGGTTAAGCACTTGCATCTGGTCTGCCTGAAGTGTCCAACTGCCGATATCTTGTCGCATTCGGTCTGCCTGGAACGTCCACCTCGAGCCCTGCCATAAGCACACGGGAAATCTTATGTGTGTCTCATATAATATTCAAACAACATATAATGGCAATATTGAAAGTATCTTTATCAAACCAACTACCAATGTTTACCTGTTGGTCAAAAAGCGCCCAGAAGATGGGCAGCGGGATAAAGAGGACTAGCACTCGGAGTAGACATTTGATATCTTCGATCAGATTGCGATCGTACTTATCGTCGGCGTGGTCCAACCAGTGCTCCCGTTTTTCCTTCGACTTGCAAGACTTCACAGTCGCGTGCTATTAAAAATAATGTAATGAAAAGTTGTTTATTACATATTTTTGAATGCTTATCAGAAATGCCTTTTCTGTCAAGGAAAACATCATAATGAAACCTAAGTATATGAAGAGTCCAGGGAAAACCATCAAAGTCACTTAACAAGAATTTTAGAAAAAAAGAATTTTTAATTTGGAGAACTTCTAAATATTGGTGACTCCCACAAATACTACCTGAATGCTGACATAAATGTATGTAACGTTATGTAATCCATTTTAACTAAAAAACATTTATAAATCATTTTTTAACTTATCTACCATTTAGTCGCAAGCATGTTTATGATTAAAGGTTAAAACTAATTTTACAGGACATTGAACCTTATTAGCCTTTTTCTGATTTAGGCAAAATAAGCTCAGCCTTTACCGAACTGTATGGCAGTTTTAACTCAAAAGCATTCGGGCAGCATGCCGACTATGGCTTAAACACTCTCATGAGAGTAACGTATCTCCTCAACAGATTAAAATGTTATACTTATTTTTTCTATCTTCGCACCGCTACGCAATAACATACGCAAACACCTTCTTGTCATTGTTGAACAAATTAACAAATTCGGAAATAAACTACACTCATTATCAACCGAGCTCAAAAAAGGAGGAGGTTCTCAATTTGTCTGTATATGTTCTGGTGCGTATAATACGCGATTACTCCGAAATTTGTGAACCGGTTTCGATGATTATTGTTGTGTTGGATAGGACCACCTCTAATTGTGGCCAATTCGGGGATGAATCCGGTTTATTGAATTTTACCCACTTTCCGTTTAATAACACTTTATACATGTAATTAATTCCATTGAAAATAAAATGTTACGGTGACTAGAGCTGATCTAACGATGAAATGGCAGACAAATGAGAGGAACCCCTCAACAGTGTAAAGCAGCTACGTTGTGTTTGGGCTCATACGGTTAGTTCTGACGACGACTTCCATATGCGTTTCAGATACCGCGGTAACAAACAGCGAAAGCGAATAACAAAACTTTTGAGGATGGTTTTTTTATAAAAAAAAGTTATAATTATTTACAAAAATAAATCCAAGGCAAAGTAAACGAATAATGATGTGTATATGTAGGTACTTAGTGCACATTTACTGTAATGAAGTGCTGTTTAAAGCTCTCGATAATAAATTTACTACTAACCCCGATGCAAGAGCAGACCTGACCGATTATATTCCCGGAGGGATTTTTCACAATGTACATATAATGGCCAAGTGCGAAGAAAACTGTAATAAAACGAATATATTAAACAAATGCATTGTATACTTCTACATAGGGCGCACTATAAGTTTCCGAAACTGGCCACTTAAATAAAGAATATTTAAAAAGTAATTACAACATTTGAAAATGGAACTCTTTGGCTGTAGAACACAGTTTGTTTCATCTGACTGTCACTTGTTTTTACATTATGGCGTAATTTTAGAAATTGGTTGTCAACATCACCATGGATTTAACTCGTGAAAATTTTCGTAGTATGATTTTCTACGACTTTAAGTGTAATTTAACAGCTCAGTGGAGTTTTCTTCGACTTCAAACTGCTTTTGGTGATGAAACACCATTCAAGACGACTATTTATAGCTGGTTTGCAGAATTCAAATGCGGTCGTATGAATCTCAGTGACAAATTTCGTGAAGGTCGCCCGTCCACTGCTGTGAATAACAAAAACATCGATGCTGTGCGCCGTATGATCAAAACAGACAGGCATGCGACATACCATGAGATTGGGGCATCTTTAGGAATAAGCATGAGTCAAATACAATCAATACTACACAAACATTTGGGTGTGAAAAAGCTGTGCTCTCGGTTGATCCCACACAATTTGACCGAGGCTCAAAAAATGGATCGCGTCACTTGGTGCAATGCCATGCTTACCAGATTCAACGAAGGGGCGTTAAATTTGGTGTGGGACATAGTAATAGGTGACGAAACATAGATGTATAGTTACGATCCCAAAACAACAATGAGACTTTCGAGATGACCCGAAAAAACCAAAGTGGCGCGCGTGCAAAGTGCCTTTAAGCAGATAATTGCTTCTTTTTTTAATGAAACTGGACGTGTGGCTACTGTTGCTTTGGAGAATCGTTGTACCGTGGATAGTGATTGGTACACAACCATTTGTTTGCCGAAAGTTATTGACAAACTCCGTAAAAATAACCGTAAACAAGTATCATCTTGCAGCATAATAATGCCAGTTCTCACACGGCTAGACAGACAAATGAATTTTTGAAGGTGAACAACGGTTGAACTTATGAGCCATCCCGCGTACAGTCCCGACCTGGCACCTTGTGACTTTTATTTATTTCCACAAATTAAGAACCAGTTACGCGGTCAACGATTTTCATCATCTGAAAACGCTGTCGAAGAGTATGAAAAATATGTTTCAGAAATTGTCACAGAGGAGTGGCATAAATGTTTTCAAAATTGGTTCATTTGTATGAAAAAGTGTATTGACGCTAACGGAGAATATTTTGAGAAAGAATAAATACATTTCTGACCATTTATAGTATTTTTTTCTTATTTATTCCGGAAACTTATAGTGCGCCCCTCTATATGTTACGAAAGAACAATGTAAATAATACACCGTGCAAAACATGTAAATTTTAAAAATAGGATATTTAATGTAATAAATAATGTTTGTTAAAGTTTTGATAAATTTGAAATATGGTATTTTAGATGATGATGTGGAATAACTTAATGTAACAGTTTTAAATAATGACATGCATACCGACAGAAATAACCATGAGTATCCCGGGCACTCCAAACGCTAATGAATAGCAAGTATCTTGTCCAAAGCAGCTAACTTCAGCTCTTAGCATCGGCGTGAAGAACGTGGATATAAGACTTCCAGCATTAATAGAGAAGTAGAAAATCGAGAAGAAATACCCAAGGTACTTCTCTTGCTCTGGCAATTTGAACTGATCTCCTCCGAACGCCGAAACACAAGGTTTTATTCCCCCCGTTCCAATAGCAACTAGTAATAGAGCCAGAAGTGTAAGCGATCTGCAAAAATATTGTATTTATTAAGTTTTATTTCTTACTATTAAGCGTTGTTCCTCAGTATGTTTACACGATACATTAAACTACTTACTCGTAGTAAGTGCCTTATCAATCTTAAGTTATGTTTTATTAACGGGACAGAATCAGAGCCGACACCACAATTTATTAAGAACAGTCCATTGCGTTTCCCGTATTGGTTCATTAGGAATCGAACTTAAGTTCGCTATATATATGCCATACAATGAGCTGGTCTTAAGACCAATTCCGCCGAGATAGCCAAAAGTCGCTAGATACTCACAGCCCAGGCAGGTGTAACGGTGGTATGGCTGTAATGGAGATGAGGAAACTGCCGCAAGCGTACACGGACGACAGGTACAGTATTGTTCTGAAAATAGATAAACGTGTCATATGATGAATGTGTAGATATTTTAATTTACGTTTTACTGTTGATATATTTCATAATAAAATTAAGGGCTACTAATATTTTCTTTAAAATTTTACGCACTTTATGTACTTCTGTATGACATGACATATGTCACTTGAAGAAACCGACATAGCAACAATAAAATGTATTTCCTCTAAGAATTTCCACTCACCGGTATCGGCCGAGCCATCCGTCAGCGATCATGGCGCCGATGACGGGAAAGAAGTAGGCAAGCATGGTGAAGGAGTGGTAGATGACGGTGGCCCCATCGTCAGAATACCCCAACATGTCACGCAGGTAGAGTGACAGGATAGCTACGAACATTCAGTAAAATTTTGCTTTTGCAGTGAATGGTTATCAGGATTGATTGGATTGGTATAGACTTAGTTTAAAATCTTTGCAAATTCTAAACAATCGTTACTAGTACACGAAGTCGGCCCATTGCAACCTCGGGACTTCACATCTATATATATATAGGTATATCTATAATTTATTCGCAAAATAAGAAATAACTTCCATGCAACTTTACGTAATCTTTACAAAACAAGTCTTATACTTGCAAGACAAAGTGTGAAACGTGCATTATCGCGGGGTTGATTTATTATTTTGCATTGTCTAAGAATAAACCTAAAGTATTATTGTTTAGATAATAGAAGCGCTATAAAATGTGCTACACTACACCCAGATCGAATATAAGATTTGAATACTCATTCTCTTGATAATAACAATAATGCGTCTTTATTCTTCATTATTACATCATGATTTATTAGTTGTATTATACTTTCCAGGCTCCGTAAAAGAGACGTTGACAAATCCTTTTATAGACATGTGAGATTTCATAATCGATAAGACACCGTAAAAGGAGTGTTCGTTGTTTTCATTATACCTCATTAGTAACGTGGTGGCCTAGTCTACTATGTTCTGTTGTACGGTCAGTATCAGATTACGGCATTTACGTTAAAAGAGACCCATCAGCTGGGCACATAGTATCAACATTATAGTGCTCTGCTCACCATGGCCAAACTTAGTTTTCATAACGTGAAGGTTACCTTGTAATGCCGTGGATCAAACTGTGATAGTGGACTAAACAGATGCAAATTTACTGAGATGAGGTCATCGTAAAACTAAATAAGTACCGATTTCTCCGTGACCTAAACAAAACTTCAATGCATCGACAATGACTTCAATCTTTGAATTTATTAATTCGTGCTAGTAGTGAGTCTTGCAGTCATTTAGAATCAAGAATCATACAAAATTTCGTTCTCAATACATCGTCTGAAATTGCAGTAGTTTTGCCAATATTAAAAGTTTTACACCAAAAAACCAAATCCCGTCGGGAAAAGCACAATACGGGGGTCGTTGTACTGAGTGCCCATCAATGTGAAAGCGTTTATTTGCGCAATCTCGTTTCTGTTCTGAACATGACGTTAGTACATCACGTTTGCAACAGGTTATCGCAATGTAATCAATGAACCCGTATTAATAAATATTAATAATTCCGTATTAATAAAGTGCGAAATTGATGTTAAGATTCTTACCCCTTTCAGCACTAGAAAATTATATTTTATGATTGGTGGATTTGATGTTACATTTTTTTAGCATTTATGCCGTTAGTAAAAAGAAAAAATACAAAAAAAATCTTCTCTCCCAAAACCCTTGCAACCCCAAGCATGATCATGGCATCGTCGATTCGTCGTCAAAATACTCAAGAAAATAATCAAAGGGTGAGCGGCAAGTTCCAGTCGTAGGGCGAGTTGGGTGTCTACCACAATTAATTGATCCCTATCATCATATGACATTTGCCTCCACTTCCTTGATCTATGTGACGACGGTGCGTCAGCCGAACGACTTCGCCTTTGTGATCGTGAACGTTCCGAAAGAAGTATGGCTTCGAATAGGTGATGATCAACCACGACTTTGGTGAGCATCACGGCTACTTGAACGGGTACTGTTAGAAGATCGAACAAGACTGGAACATAGAAATGACTGTGAAGAATTCGGAACCCTCTGAAAAACGACTGGTCTGGCCGGGTTCCTACGCCAGTGATACGCCTTTGCTCTCGCTGGGGTTTGTGGTTAGCTGCAGAGACGGACATGTTTGTCTGCCCCGGCTGGGTGTGGCCGGGGCGTCTGTCTCGTGAGCAGCTAGCGCGTCTTAGTAGCAGTCTAGTCGAAGCGTCTAGTCCTTTAAGTTGGAAGCTATGTCCGGACATTGTCGTAGGACACTGCAAATAACATCTCCGACCCTAGCCCGGAGAGCTAGTAGAGCTAGATATCCTCCAGCCGCTTAGGTTATTGGGAACTGGAGAGCTCTACCACCAGGGAGGAGATTTGGTAGCGGACTCAGAGTCGACGGCTTAGCGGTGGCAACCGCTAGTTGTGTAATGCGCAACGGGAAGTGAGTGAGCCTACAGCTCCAGTACCTATCTGGAAAATAGGGAGGGTACTGTACGTGCACTCGGGGAGGCTCACCCGAGGCACTAGGCTCTCGAAGAACCGGATGAAGTCAAGTGACAGAGGTCTGTGGCAACCCTGTACAATGGCTGATCTGGGGTCAGAACCTGAACTTATAAGGTTCCTGTGCGCGCACAGGTTATAGTGCCCTTCTCCTATACCCTCAAGGTCGGTAGGGATGGTCACTATAATCAAAACTAGCGTAGAAAAATATGGGGTTGGTCTGGGCTGGTGAGAGTTTCCGAAATTTTAACAAGTCACTGTTTAAGTATTGTTTATGTAAAATATAACATATACTTAATAAGAAAATGCACCATTAGGTCAGAAAACACGAAATTATGAAATTTAAAAAATTTTGCTTTTGACCTCCCGTCCGTCACGTACACGCCTACACTTGTCGCTCTCGGTACAGGTGTGTAACCCTAGAACACGAATGCACAAACGATCGGTGTCGGTCCGACGCGGTAAACTTGAATACTTCTATATCGAATTTTTTTCAAAGTTGAACGCACTATCGTATCATTCTGTGCTGTAAGGGTTATTAATATCTCGTTTGAACACACATTACTTAATAATTACGTATCATTTGAGACTAATCAAAATTAGCGCTGCTCAATGGCTGCCGTAGAGTACCGTCTCAGCCAATACATATTTTATACCGGACTTACGAGCTGTTTTTAATACGGGACTAAAATTCTTACGTAATAGTATTGTTAGCTTTTATTGTATTTTTATATCTTAGACAAGTAAGGTATAAATAAAAATACAATAAATAAATGTTGCTTATACCTACATAGAATAAGGCTTGGCAGCACCACTTCACACATTCTCGTTGATTTTACGGGTAAGTATATGCTGCTCGCGCGATCGCTTGGTAGTGGAATGTAATAACTTTCAATGTGTATACTCCGATCGTGATATCCGTTTCATCTATTGTAATAATGTTTATTTTTGTCGCATCCGGTCGCTCGATCTGAGTTGTCTACGACGCTTTTGTAAGTTAAAACTTTGACAGTTAAAATAAATTATTCAAAAACAAAAAACTTAATAGGTATCATTTTGCGAAAATGGGGCATTTTACAGGAATTTATTTATTTATTAAGTAGGAAGGTACTACCACTTCATATATATTACAGCATTTGAACATTCAACACACAGTATTACATCTGATATATATTCTGGAAATTACGCTGTACATAGCAGGTATATGATATTTATGATTCTTTTGCATGGTCAGGGTGGAGTAAAACGTCATGCGTGCTTAGTCGACGTACACATTGAAGTTTATCAGTGTCACTTGCCAAGCGATCGCGCGATCAGACTGTAGTTACCCGACCATTTTTACGGTCAACATTTAAAGAAACTTTGATCGACTTCGTCCTGAACCTTCTCCTTAGACGCGTCATGTGATGTATGGCTCTATGTGGTCGTCCGCATTGAATTACAATGAAATGCGCCGAGACATGAATTAATCGAGAGAAAAAGTCAAGTAGTTAACATAATACAATTGGTACCAATTTTAATTTATATGATATAAGATGTCTGTCTGTTCAACTAAGACGGATTAAACTGCAATTACACTGTTTAGTAAGACATAAAATTTACAAGTTACCAGCACCATATCAGCATTTTGTTGTTTAAACATTTACAAGGCGTTATCCGAAAAAGTGATTTGTTTTCGCCATGTTTTTAAGTAGTACAAAAGTGGAAACTAATGCACGGAACGAAGATAAATAATGTCGTAATCCAATTTTCAAACTTTTCACAACTGAATTCGTATTCTGGTATTAAATAGTACCATCTATGTTAATTAATTATATCGCGAACAAAATCAAATACTTCTGGATTCAGAGGCAAAAAGTACCTGTAGTAGTAGCGGTACCTAAAAAGTAAGTTTTGTCTGTAACGCGACTAGGAACTCAGACAGGTTTCGGTCGGCCATTTATTGTTCTGTGTGTCGGCCGAATGTTAAAATTCAGGATATGGCTAAACAGAGAATCAGCTGTTGTAGTAATGCGTAGTTCTAAATTCCACATAAAAAGTATGTGGAATTTATATTATATAAAAAGTACTAGGAGGAAATAAGATGACTAGAATAAAGCACGCAGTGGCATCAAAAGTGTGTACATATGTGTATGCTGTCATGTCACAGGGAAAGTACAAGTGACCACAGAGAAAAGGAATAAATGTTTATGTAATAAGTGTGACGCTAGTTGATTGTCCTTAATAAAAACAATAAGAGCAGACAGTTAAGAAAGAGCGTTCTGAAATCCAAATAAGTGTGGTTTTCATCTCCCAGGATTTTGTCCGCTGAAGCCAAGTGGGTTGAAAAGGACATGGGAAAGTAAAGAGAATTTGTTACACATTACGTACAATATGAAGTAGAACAATCATATCAGAAGTAGAATATAAAATCATTAAATATAGAAGCGCGTACCTAACTTATTAAGTTATTGAATTCAAATGCCTCCGTGGCCGAACGGTTACCATGCCGGACTTCCACGCAGAGGTGCCAGGTTCGATTCCCGGGCCGGGAGAAATATTTGTATGGCCTACATTTATTTCTCTCGTGAGTTTGGGTGTAATTTGCGGTTGTCTAACTGTGTCCATGGCACCCCCGACATAGGGTTTTCCCTAGTGCGGGGCTATGTTGAGTGTGTGCATTATTATTATTGAATTTGTATCAGCAGGCAACTGTTTGCTTACTATTGTTATTCTAATTTCTATTATGTTGTGCACCTTTTAAGACAAAATAAATACAAAACAATAAATTAAAAAGAAATCTAAACAGTCTTAACACACAATGTTTGATCAGCGTAGTGTTATAAAACAAAATAGTAAACAACAAGTAATTTTAAATTAGAAAAATAAATAAAACAGTATGGACTCAGAATAATACGCCATTTTCATTGGGTTTTCCACAAGTGTAAAGCGGCAAAATCAATAAGTAAATTGACTCAAAAAACCTTCACAAAATATCACCGTCCAAGTTTGAGTTAAACGCAGATAAAATGAGAATGTTCTGAACGCTGACGCGCTAAGATGATACAATCTTGCCTATCACCACTATGTAAATGGTCATTGGTATATAGAAACACTTTGTTGCGAATTCATAGTAAAATGTTCTGTCAAAAACGGCAGGCCATTAATTTTTTCAACTATACAAGGTTATTTGTTATATGCTAAAACCTCGCAGGACTATATTACTATCATAAACAACATTTTTTGTTCTATGACTTTTTATAAAACGTAATAAATTTAGCAAAAATAAGCTTTCAAGTTTTTAGAGTACTATTTGACACTTTAAGATCTCTATTCAGTTGTAACAACGACCTGGGGGCTCTCGCTCCTGCGTTTTGCATCTTACTGGTATTGGCGCTAACGCTTTCTTTTGTTTAATTTATTTAAATATTTTTAGTTTTGTACGAAATTAAAATCTGACGAATAATTCTATTCTAATATCATGGAACAAAAGGTGTTCGCTATGAGACAGCAATATAATCCTGGTTGTTAGGTTAGCTATAGAGGTTATTATTATTTTACAAATAACCCTGTATATCCACCAGATTTCATCCAATCCTTCTTCTTCGTCAAATTCAACTGCTTCGGTGTAATTAAATAAACAATACATGGAAACATTCCTGCAAACGTTGTTATCAAAAATATTACATTGGGAATTTACATTATACTTGAAAAATCTTACTTCGCAATCCATAGTAGGAAAATCTTTCGCAAAACTCATTTGCGACTATAAACCCGACTGCCTTTGGATACGGTAGTTTCTGAAACAAACATTTTAAATATGAAATTTTAAATAAATTAGTATCTGCATATTTGAGTAAGATAACTATTGCCTTCTAAGTAAATAGATATCTTGAATAAATAATGAAAATACACATGAATATTTAAATAACTTACTCTACGGGGCGTTAAAAATTTTCTTTAAAAAGAAATTACACCTAATATGTGAAAGTTTGTGTAGCTAAATGTAATGAGGTGTGTAAATGTAGGACATCACTAAAGTCTCATCTTTTGGTAAATAAGTAAATTATTTTATACTCCAAATTCGCTTAAACTTTTCAGTGACCCGGTCTGTTATACAAATCAATAGATTCGCGCACACGATTTTCGTTGCGTATTGCGTTGCGAAACATAGCGTCTATGCCAAGAAAAATAAACACTAACTTGCAAAAATATGAGTTTCAATACTGATCTGTAATTGATAAACCACAAAGTATTTCTAAATAGGTACAGCGAAGTTCACTTATTTAATAATTAATATTGTAATTATGTTACTGTAACAAATTAAATTATTATTTGTTTTCATTATTTTCCTGTTATTGTAATTGTAAAAATAAAAAAATTAAGACAAATAATACATAAAATAGTAATAGCTAATTGTTATAGTGTGTTTTACTAAATACATAGGGCGCACTATAAGTTTAGGCGAGGGCTATAAGAAAGCAGAGGCTGTAATTTTCAAAGCGCACGTATGTCATACGACGTTTTATAACATATTTGCGAGGAAATAAATAAGACTCTGACTTTCTTAAACGAATAAATCTTTAATTACTTGTTAAAGCAGTTATAGAAATTTGAACAATTTTGAAAAAAAAGTGATTGTTACGTTGCCAGTAGGCATTTTTAATGTTGTCAAGTTATTATTATTAGTTACAATCTCCCCAGTCTCTCTCTCACTCTCTTGAGTGAAAGTAGGAGAAACGAGACCACAGAGTTCTGCAGTCGGTGGCGGCGGCGGAGGCGGTTGCGGCTGCGGCGACGATGGTGGAATGTACGCGTGTGTGCTCGTAGATGGTTGAAAGTCAACACTTGACTCCAAATTTATGTGCCTTGTAATGCGAGAGCTAACTTCTTCTTTATTTCTTGTCAAGTCTTCTATGTATCCTTCGGCTACATTGCTTGACCGCCATCCTCCGTGGCGTTTTAGTGTCAATAAGTCCGCACCTGAATCGGCGAGCAATGTGTATTCATGTGCTTGAAGCAAATTTAAGAAAGTGGCAATTTCTTTCGACATATCTCCCAATTTATTAATGCCAATGGGTTGGTTAGTGCATCTTCCATTTTGGTAATTTTGAAAAAATCTGTTGGAATTAGCTTTTGTTGAACGAAGCGCTTCGTATTTCTTCACTACGTCGTAAAAAGGCCCCTGTATTGTGAACGACCTTGGAATTTTATTTTTTGTGTTTTTGACCTGGACAAGAAGAACCCGCCCATGGTTCTCGACATCATTAGTTGTTATGTTTGCCAACTCTTGACGTCTGCATGCACCATTTATACCGAATATTAATACAACCTGAAAAGACATAAAAAGAACGTATAAACACCTATATTGTAAAGAAATACGAAAGTGAAAGAAATTAATAACAATAATTTAATTTCAACTGACCTTTGTTGCCAAATATCGCCAATCCGGAGCTTCTTTTAGGAACTTCTTGATATGGTCAGCCGAAAATACTTTCAACTTTTTACTTACATGGCCATCTGAGCGTCTTTTTAGAAATGCTATCAAGTTGGAGTATGACTTGATATCAATACCATGGTTTGTTTTCATAGTGCTTTTTAGCATTGAATAGTAGCACCACAATGAGCTTGGCTTATGTTTTTGAGAAAGTTCCATGAAATAGGCTAAAAACACATTTTCTGAAAATGAATTTGCATCTATGCTTGTTTTCCATATGATGAAATTTTGATACGCTTGTAAGTATCTATCGGTCGATTTTTCAGGTAAGAGGCTTAGAGTAGCCTTTTTCGCTGCGTTTAAGACTTGTGGCGGTGTCAAATTAATAAATTCATTACTACTTGACGACATTTTCAAATAAAAACAATACAGCGAAAAGAAAAAGCGCGCCAAATAATTTTTATAACATTTGCTCGTAAACTGACTGAAATCACACCAATTTCAATATCGTAATGTATTTCATTACGCACTTGTGCGTTACTGTAATGTAAAACGCACAAGTGCGTTATTGTAATGTAAAACGCACGAGTTTTTTTTAATAAAGTAACATGCACGGTTTTTTAAGATGCTCCGTCTAAAAATGAACGATACTTTTTTAAATCTTTGCAAAGAGTTTTTATGTTAGAAAAGTGGTCAATATTTTATGAATAAAATTAACTTTGGGAGATAAAATATAGTAAATAAACATTTAATTCTTTCATTTAATTAATTTTGACAATAAATTACAACCATTTATCTGTAACAAAAACACAAAAATATTAAATTACTTTATTAGTAATACTGGCTATTTTTATACCTTTGCCTAAAAAAAAAACGTTGATGCGCGCGCATGGCTAATTTGTGGACAAGTAAAAGTAATTACAACATTTGAAAACGGAACTCTTTGGCTGTAGAATACAGTTTGTTTCATCTGACTGTCCCTTGTTTTTACGTTGCGGCGTCATTTTATAAATTGGTTGTCTACACCACCATGGATTTAACTTGTGAAAATTTTCGTAGTATGATTTTCTACGACTTTTTCGACGACGAAATTGTTTTTGGCGATGAAGCACCATGCAAGACGACTAGCTATCTATATATATAGCTATATATATATATAGCTGGTTTGCAGAATTCAAATGCGGTCGTGTGAATCTCAGTGACGCATTTCGTGATGGTCGCCCATCCACTGCTGTGAACAACAAAAACGTCGATGCTGTGCGCCGTATGATCAAAGCAGACAGGCATGTGACATACCATGAGATTCGGGCATCTTCAGGCATAGGCATGAGTCAAATACAATCAATACTACACAAACATTTGAGTGTGACTCAAATGAAAAAACGGATCGCGTCACTTGGTGCAATGCCATGCTTAACAAAGTCAACGAAGGGGCGTCAAATTTGGTGTGGGCTATAGTAACAGGTGACGAAATATGGATTTATAGTTACAATCCCAAAACAAAGCAGCAATCGAGCGTACGAGTCTTTCGAGATGAGCCGAAACCAACCAAAGCGGCGCGCGCGCAAAGTGCCTCTACGCGGATGATTGCTACTTCTTTTAATAAAACTGGACACGTGGCTACTGTTGCGTTGGAGAATCGTTGTACCGTGAATAGTGATTGGTACACGGTAATTTGTTTGCCGGAATTTATTGACAAACTCCGTAAAAATAACCCTAAACGCCGTATCATCTTGCACCACGATAATGCCAGTTCTCACACGGCCAAACAGACAAATGAATTATTGAAGATGAACAACGTTGACCTTATGAGCCATCCCGCGTATAGTCCCGACATGGCACCTTGTGACTTTTATTTATTTCCAAAAATTAAGAACCACTTACGCGGTCAACAATTTTTATCACCTGAAGAGGCTGTCGAAGAGTATGAAAAATATGTTTCAGAGATTGTCACGGAGGAGTGGCATAATAGTTATTTTTGATATAAGTGCGGAAAGTTAGTCATTATTCACGAGGCTCGAGGCTTCTTGGCCCGAGCCAGAGGCGAGGGTCAAGACGCGAGACAAGTGAAAATGACAAATCCGCACGTGTATCAAACGACGATTTTTAATACATTTGCGAAAAAACTACATTGAAAGTAAAATAAAACAGTATTTAAAAAGAACTCATTTTCTGCTAGTAAATTAAAATAATGAAATACAACCACTGCAACCATTATTTAAAACTCTATGGAAATATAGTTCTAACGTGCTGTTTATTTTCTGTAATATCGGTCTGTAACCACTTTTTTTATTATGAAGTCCTGGTACTTTTGTTTAAACTTCTTTAGGAACCCGTGCACGGTAGTGAGATACAATTTATCTGTAATACATAAAACAAATATATGCATAAAAATCTCGCCTGTCACCCATTCAGGGGTAGGCAGAGACCTCCACTCGATACGTTCATTATATAGTATTTGTAAATAAATATAAGTTTTAATGAAGAATGACTTACGTCACAAAGCACATAAATATTAAATAAATATACAACTTCTTTAGTTCTGTGCTTAAGATTTGAAACAATAGTAAATTAAAAAAAAAATGGAAAAGTAAAAACCACTAGTGCGAAAATTCCAACTTTCGGCACGATTTGTAGTGCGAAAAATACCACGTTTTGAGCAACTGTAATAAAAATGTTTTTAAAATTGGTCCATTCGTATGAAAAAGTGCATTAACGCTAACGGAGAATATTTTGACAAACAATAAATTCATTTCTGACCATTTATAGTATTTTTTCTTATTCATTCCGTAAACTTATAGTGCGCCTCAAGTATCGTATATCCTTCAAGACAATAAAATTAGCAAAGATCGTATTAAAAAACATGTACTTGATATCAAGCATGGGTAGATAATATCACATACGTTGGAAATTGGTGAAATTACAGGCATATGGAACTTGTCAACTTATGTATCAGGGTGACAGGCGCAGTGGTAGTGCCCTTCAGATCTTTGCGAATTAAATGCTCTGAGGATAGATATAGGTACTGAAAATGTATAAAGGTATTTACCAGTACTAAACAATTCAACTATTAGTTGAAGTCGTAAATAAGTATTCGAAAGTTAATTGCAGTAAGCTGTTTACTTTTATTCTCAATAATAGCTGTTATACAAAGTATGTATTTTGTCGTATAATTTCCTACGTTTATAACTACAAGCAAACTCGTTATTGTCATGTTTTTACATATTATTTGTTGTTTGTAGGATTTTTATTTTGGATTTATTATGTTACTTTTTTTTTTTAATTTATTTATCTAAAATTTATTCTCTAAATTACTACAATGTATCTAACAAATATTTCTTTAATTCATTTTTTATGTAACTT